CAAAGGTAAAAATACACGAGCCGATGGTCAGGGTGAATGACTGGCGATTGAAAAGTTCGACCGACGAGGCCAGACCACGGGACGCGAGACTGGCAATGTCATAGAAGTAGATGTACGCCAAGCCTACGAGGATGAAGACATCCGCCAGCAACGCGATGGGTCCCAGCTTGGAGATGTTTCGGATCAATGACAGTGGGATGAGCACCAGCAGTTGTACGGCGATCAATTTACCGGTCGACAAGGCCGTGCCCAGGTCTGTTGTCACAGCTTCCAGGACGGCGTGGACGTTCTCTGCGGTGAAGATGATGCAAGCACACACGAAGCCCAGTTGAGAGATTACGATGGATGCGAGAATCAACGTCCGCAGTCGAGGACCACCGATCCGCTCACCAATTTCGCCATAGCCACCGCCATAGTGTCTCCGACATTCCAGCAACAGGTGGAAACACAAGGTACTGATCAACGACACTGTTACAAGGGTGATGGAGGAGAACAGGATCCCGCCGTTGCGGAAGGCCTTGGGTAAGAAAATAATGCCCGTCCCCACAAATGCCTTCAGGAGGGTAAAGAAGGTCTTGACGTTGGAAGCATCGCCTGGGCGGCTGGCTCGTGAGCTCCGCCGTCGCCGCAAGAGAGCAGTGCGTTCGGACGGTCTCGTCTCTTCCTCTTCTTCCTCTTCTTCTTCGACGATGGCGGATTCCTCCTCTGTGTCCGCCAAATCCTCACCCGCAAAGTTGCCATAAATATCAAGAAAATCGAGAAAGGACGAGGTCACGCCCGGCTGGTCGAGCCGACCGTACTTGTTCTGAACGAAGTGACGGCGGAAGCTCCCCGGCTCCATGGCGGCCACGCCTTCTTCGACTACATCATCTGTGCGTCTCGGAAGGAAAGAGAAAGTCGCTGCCCGTTTGTCCAGGCGAGCTATCTTTGATTTGGCGTCGATACGGTACAAGTCTCGATGGATATCGCCGCCTTGCAGTCTCAGTGAGGACTGGGGTTCGGAGGGAGCATCACCGCTACTTTGCTCAGCTGGGGGCTCGGCCGGGGGTGCAGTTAGCTCATCCTGAAGGGAGGCAGTGAACTGAGGATGTAGATGCTGGGACAGGACGTTGTTTGCTTCTCTCGAGTCGGAGTCGGGATCCCGACCGGGGGATGTGGAGAGATCTGCCATTGGAAACGGGGGTGTCGGGGACGGAGGGCGGAGGCGAATTTCTGGTTGGGAGAGGATGGGGTCAGTTGAAACAGGGACTGGAGAATGTTAGAAGCATTGTCCGGCCGTGTAGACCGTCGAGGTATTGCCAGATGGAACAAAGGAAATTTGAAGGGAGAACCAGGAGGAGGGGGGCGAGGAGGAGAGGAGGATACAAAAGAGGAAGCCGATGCTTTGAGAGGGAGACGTAAGTACTTTGGGAGGACCAGCGGATGCAGTCAGTCAGTGATGTCGATTCCCTTCTTTTGACTGGGTCCGTCGATCGTCACTCTTCGCTCCGTGCTCTTTCTGCGCTGTCTGATTGGCTGGTGTCTGAGTCAGCACCCGGGCGACAACAACGGCCATCACATGATTTACAGGGTGGAAAACAAAGACGGTAAAGACGACAAAGTGAAGTTATACTACGCCATGTACTACTCCACAGTTGCATGGAATACATCTCTCTCCGCTGCAAATCATCAATATCGGTCTCTCAATAATGACGCTGTACAGATACAGACACACTTGGAGTAACATTGACTCATCTGGGTAGTACCTTCTGTCTACTTTATGTCTACTGTCTGCTCCGGCCCCATCTATACTAGACTGACACTGCTGTACCTCCATTATCTCTCTATCGTCTTTGGCTGAGTGACGCGTCTCAGATCTTAGATCTTGGCCTCTCACTAGCCTCCCAACGTGCTAACTGCTCATGGCTGCGAGCAAAAGTCTTCGTCACCACCGCAGAAGCCGTACTGATCTCCAGCGCCAGAGCAAACGCAGCAATGTACCCAGCCAGTCGTCGCTTACCGCCGGGCTCACTGCACTGCATGATGCGCAAGCCTTCCTGTTGTGTCGCGTATGACGTGCCCCCGCCAATTACCCCTACAGGCATAGAGGGGAAATAAAGGCTCAACGTTAGTGTCTTGGACATTTGATCGTATTCCGGCGTCAGGTGTGCCCACGAAGCATCAGCGACACACGCCGCATCCTGGCCCGTAGCAATGAAAATTGCTGCCAATATATTGGCGGAGTCCATATTACTGCCATGTTCGCCATTCCGAATCGCCGCGTCTTGGGTGATCTGTATTAAGTCATACAGTTTTGCGGATGAACAGCCCAGGATTCGCTGACATGCCGATTCGGATAGAGCTGTCCAGGCCACGGTCTCGACACCCCGAACGACGGTCACATTCCTCCACGATGGCTTCTTGTCCGAGGATAGCATGCCTTCTACAAACGTATCCACAATCTTATATTCCTTTTCTAGGTTCTTCGACACCCAGGCACAGACCCGGTCTGTAGCTATGGTCACCATGTTCTGGCCCGACGCATCACCGCAGGTGTAGTTGAAAAGGAGATGGACAGAGCGCCCGATCGTGTGCGGCGTTAGGCTCTGTAGACGAGCATGCTTGCTGGTGCTTTCTGCCACCTCTTTGAACGATGCCTGGAGGGTAGGCAGTGCGCGTGCAAATCGTAAAGCATCTCTGGGATTCTGGAACTGAAAGACCGGGCAGCGCGTCATGCCTTCCTCTCCCATGTGGACTTCAATCCCACCAGAGGCATTGGCAGCTTTGCATCCACGACAGCAGCTGGCGACTACCGCCGCCTCAGTGGTGGCCATGGGCGCCCAGATCTCCTTGTCGGGCCCTGTGGGCGTTCGGATATGTAGCGGCCCAGCTAATCCGACAGGAACGTGCGTATAGCCGATGAAGTTTTCGATTTTTACCTTGAAAGGGTCCTGATTATGCCGAGTTATGTGTTCGATCCCGGTGAGGACCTGGCTGAATTGAGCCTTGGTCTTTTCTGAAGGAGGGGCCATGGTTCGAGAGCTGTATCATCAAGACTGAAGTATATTCGGTGTAGAGACAGATGTCGACCGACAAAAATCACGCGCGAAACGGTCATTATGTATAGATCTAACCATATTGCCTCTATCAAGGTTAACCTTTGCGGAAATCTTGGATAACCCGGTTCTTATGATTTGATTCCAAGGCATAGGCACATTGCTTCCAGGGGCACAGCTGATTAGTGTTCGTTCATTCTTGTTTCCAGAGATTCCTCAAAGTGAACTTACATCACCAGTGATTCAGAGCTATATGGTCTGCGCCCATAGATATCACCATTAACAATTCAAACTACACCTATGTCACCATATTCAATGCAAATATCTATCAAACCCCATAACAAACCTGGAAATAAGCTTGCTTCATGGGGTAGAGCACTCCGCCTAACCATACGGATACCAAGTCAATGAAAATAGCTTGAGTGGCATAATAATCTCACTCTAACATCCATTCCACACATCAGAAATCAAGACAGGAACCCAAAAGAAATCAATTCATCCAGCCAGCCAGCAACCAAAAGAAATAACTCCAGGAATCAGCCAGTCACCCCAGCCGGTCAAGCAGAGCCCAGCGCACAGAGCATCGAAGTTGGAAGGCAACCACTACTGCGTCCCCGTATTGCGGGTCCTGTAAGTTGCCCGGTCCCGTAATCAAGTGGAACTGACCTCAAAAGTAGGCAAGAATTAGATTGTCGACTCACTGTACTTAAAAGAAGAAGAAAAGAAAGCACCGTCACAGTTTCAGTTCCTCCGAGCCCTAAGAAAGGAAAAAGATATTTTTCTTAAGAATAAGCAATCAGGTCCGAGATCGCTCACGTTCCACATTTCTCAGCTTTAGAAAGTACCGTGCGTATTGCCTTCCCAAAAAAATAGAAAAAAGAAACAAATAAAAAGGAAAGAAAAGAAAAGCAATCCCGGACGAACTGGTGGCGAAGTGTTCGTATTTCCGAAAAGCGCCCGAGAGTGAGAACAAGAGAAATAGACTTATTGCTGATGTGCAGCAACACTGCAGCGATGCTGCACACCATCGGAGTACTCCGTAAAAGCATACTCAGTTTCTCACACCATAAAACTAAGCATGACTTGATTGATGGTAATAGTGCTGCCCGGCGGTGCCCCGCCAAACCTATCTACTATGTAAAATGTGCAGTAGACCAGATCTCCCAATCTGACAATTGCAGCCCGCACAGCCCCTTATTTCGGAATCGCAGAGATTCCAAACAAACTGTCTCACTACATGCAAAAGTATTGCGCAGCTCTGCTGGCCAATGAGTAAAGCGGACAAGGCCAAGATATGGATCCTCACTTGCTGTACTTTTTACTCAACGAACTCTGATCAACGCACGTGTCTTTGTAATTCCATAGGTTCATCTTAGTAGATGATACGTACTATCACCTTCCTGCTGCCCACTATGGATCCACTTGATTGCCTACGGAGTACTAACATACAACTACAGTAATTCTGCGTTTGAATGACAAATCGCCATCCCTGCCAAGTAGATCATGTATCACAGATTATCATCCAATTTTGACCTGGTTCGTTCTTTGTTTGCTACTGTCTGTGATGGGCATATGATAGATAGACTATAAAGGCGGGCGGGGGTTTAGGTTTAGGTTTTCTAGTGTCTACTAGTAAAATATCCTCGCTCTGGCGATCACGGGGGGTATTTTTTGGGTTACTGGTTTACCCGCTTTATCTATCTTGAAATTTGGTGATTTCGTTAAGGGTTGTTGCCAGGGTCATGCTAGTGGTATTCACGTATGATATTCGGGAAAGGGCCGTTAAGGAAATAGTAGAAATATACAAGGGGGATGTAGAAGTATAGAAGCTTCCTTCTGAGGAAAGGAATGAAAGTGAACGAAGGACAAAAAAGAAGGGTATATGAATATACACAAGGAAATAGAATCAACGGAGGATGAAACAATGAAAGAACGTAGAGAAGGGTATAGTGGACCAAGGCACGATCAAGAACTATGCGTCCCGACAGACCGAGGAATATCAAACGACTGCATCCCCCGCGTATAATACTCCGTACTGACTTCGACATTCGTCTCGATTTCCGTATGAGCGTATATCTTCCCATCCGGGACAATAATCCGTTCCTGGCTGTTATTCCTCCCGATCTGCGTGCCCGTCATGGCATCCCCATCTTGGGTCTGCAGGATACTCATATCGAATGGATGCTCGCGACCCTTGGAGAAGCCCGATTCCTCTTTTCTCATGTTGCTGCTCGACCATCCGCCATAGCCGCGGTTCGAGCTGTATTCGCCGATCAAGCGGGGGAGGAAGCGAGAGGCGATGGCTTTGAAGGACGGGATGGAGGAGGCCAAGATGCCTACGTTGATCTCGATGGCGGACCAGTACATGGCGCCGCTGATGGCGTAGGTGGAGTCGCTGGAGGTGAGCATCGCGGGGATATAGGTGATTCGGATGATGGAGGATATGCAGGCGCTGGAGGTAACCGTTAGACAAGACATCGGTGAATGACAGCAGGTATTGTACTACTTACAATAGACCAAGACAGAGGATACCACCAAGGGCCAACTTCTGTTTCCTTGGCATGTGTAGTTTTAGGATGACACGGATCGGAAGTGAGTAGGTAATCAGATCGGTAGTAATGTTCAGCGCCGCGTTGGCGAGGTAGAAGACGTTGATCGTCACGCAGTGGCCGGGGATGCTAGTGTTCCAGGCGCGGGGGATGGGATTGCACTGAAACGCAGCTGTCAGGACGAAGGAAGTGGCCTGACAACCCACCACGCACAACATGACGAGAGACATGCGCGTGAGTTGCTTGTCGCCAAGTCGGGTGTAGAACCAGCAGACGGAGGTTTTGACGAAGCCCAGGGCGGCCAAGTAGAACATTGAACTCAGCCAAACGGCCTGATCATGATCATCAGCAACGTTATCCTGCTCAAGAGGTTGAAGGGACGTACAAAAGAGTATGTTATTAGACCACTCTGATCCACATCCGCCATGTGCTGGCCCATGCCATGCTTGACAGCTGTATAGGGTCAGTCTCTGCCTTCAGACGCTGACAGGAGGAATCGTCTTACCAACAATGGTAACTGCTGTGAACGCCCATGATAGAAGCTGGGTGAGAGGTCAGCTCAATTGCATCAATCCGGAAACGATTCCCTTACGCAGGCGCCAATAATCAAGTCTAGGAGAAATAGTAGGTAAGTCACAGGTCGGACAGCAGCCAAGGGGGGGCAGGACAATATTGACTTACAGTCATCCAAGCCCATTCGCTTCAAGACATAGATTCGAGCAAACAGCCGGAGGCAAATGGTCACAAAACTCAGGACCGCAAAACTGATCGCAACGCCAGCAATCACTGGGCCCTGTGTAGTTGCCATATTGACAGTCCGGACGGACAGATGAGGGCAAGACGCACAATGCTGGGTAGTAAATCGGGAAAGTCCAAGGCCTATTTATCGAGTGCAACACATCAGATGCAGTCCTCATGCACCGCACACACCCTACATAGAGAGGACAGTCATTTCTAGAAGGGGAACTTCCGAGGGGTCAAAGATTGAGTTGCGATTTAAACGGGAGGCAATCTGGCGCATGTGCGCCATCGCGATCATCGCTGCATCAAATGCCCCTGGCAGGGCTCCGGGACTCATTCTTGGACGATCCCAAGCGGTCCGGGTCAAGCTCGCATGTTGGAGAAACTGGAGTCTGATGGACAGTGGCGTTTCCCAAAAAGGGGAAACCGTGAGGGAAATTTTCAGACGGTACCAAGAGTTGACTAGCGACTCTGGAAGAACGGATGGAAAAAGCAAGCTATCGCGCGAGTAGCGACCAAGAATCGGGGACTCCAGTGACGGTTCGTAGCCCACATCTTGGGGTCTTGAAGTGGTGGGTATCGCGTCCGGATGCACTGGCCGACTCCGCTTGTCGAATCTGATACAGAAAATGTGTCGTTGAACCTATCGCTCCACGGCTAATCGGCGGGTGCCACTGAGAAGCAGTACACTGCACTAAAGGGTGTTAGTCGTTGTCAAATGAGTGGCCTTCGGCGACAAGAATAGCAGCCGGGACACGATCGTCATTGAAGATGGGTCATATCTCCGGGGGTGGTTCCGATGCTCGTAGGAAGTAGAACAGGTTTTTTGTGTATGATCTGTATCTTTGCTGCCTAGGTTGCCACCACGTTTGTATTATGATATTCGGTGCTCACGTATCTAGATAGTGGTTGCGACAACATCATACCCAGATGCACGATGGCAGCCCGCCAAGTCAGGCTACCACACGCACCGCTATGGCAGGCTAATGGCTGTCTGCAAGACACGGGAGGACTGGGCAAAATGGGAGGAAGTAAGTTCCGGTACTATTCGCACCGTAAACGACCGGTGTCTGAAAGGCAGGAGAATCGCTGCCGGCTTTCCTCCAACCGGGTTAGGGCCTTGACTAGTAGTCGCCTGAGCGCAAGTACTGACCCACTCCACTGGGGATGGCCCCGTCCAGACAATTCTGGACAGCGAGTCCTCTGGTCATAAAGGTGGTCTACACTGGTCGACCTTTGGTCTTCGAAATGCCTGCGAATACGATGGGCGCAGGATCGAATCCTGGTGGCTTGGTAGACGTTCTGGGAAGGGTAGGGCAATTCTTTATTGGTCGCCCTGACACGCGGAAGCATGTACTACCGAATATTCACCGTAGTTCAGTCAATAGATCCAAAAGAAGGAAACCACCCCTTAATGCGTTTTTGGCTCTTCGGAGCAGCCTGCTTATGCACCAGTTAACCAAGCGTGGGGTTTGTGAATGCAGTTCCTTCTCATGCTGGTTCATTGACTCATGCTGGTGTTCGAAAAGCGAATGAAATGAGAGGGGAATAATTAAGTGGATGGCTTCGGGGACGGACCTCGGGCTATCGGCCGTGCTCCCGATCCAGTGGTCGCAGCCACCGATTTCTGTCGATTCAACGGTGAAAATTTGCGTTGATATCTATGTGAACTGGATGAATGGGTGCCAAGTTGGTATGAGGACCATACTGCTCCTTCCGTTCCAAGTCGTCAAAGCTGCCCCTACAGGCTGTGTACAAGTCCGCCCCTCATAGCGATGTTAGGATCAACACTGATATGTCAACAAGCGCAATGAGACATTCCCAGCTGAAGGTATTCCTAAACTTCAGTCTCGAATAACTTCCGACACTTGCAGAAGTAGTCAATAGTGTCTTTGGCTAAAACCGACTGAGAGGATAACGGATTACACCATTAGCAAGCCCCATGGGCAAGCCGCCAATAAGCCAGCAATCTCTCTCCTGGAAGTCCTGGAACTTTTGCCTGCTATACTTGCTTTTACGATTCTGGGCCTGTTTTGACACCCCTTCTGCAACTTAGCAAAGGCCGTAATCATTTTATTTTTTTTCTTGGAGCCATGGACGGGGTGCCGATCGCGGCCCAGCGGCAGACCGGCGTCAAAGTTAGTCTCCGTTAGGGCCTGCTAGGGGGGTGTCTGTGGGTGGATCTGGCCTCTCACGTCGCCGCTCCCAGTGGACCACAATTTATTTCCTGGTGGCACAAAGTACTTTGTCGAACACGTCGAGCGAACAAAGAAGGGGATTTGCTTTGTTTGTGGGATCCGGCGATATCTCGATAATGCGGTAGATAAATAAGTGGATGGATGGATAGTAAGGAGATATATATATGGCAAGAACGGCACTCCGCGAAGGTCACGGAAGGAATGGTCCCTTTCATAAAAATAAAAGTGGTTCCATGGTCGTGACATCAGGACATGATGATCCCAGTAGCAGTCTCTGACAGACTTTGAGCCTGACAAGTGTCAACTGCTACCCCGAGAGCTAAACTACGGCCAATAATGGCTCATTGCGACTCGGCAAGCCCACTCCATCAGAGACACTAGGAGCCGTTGGAGGTGCTAAACCCTCGGCCGCGCATTTTTTCCTGTTCATGAGACTTCACTCTGTCCCCGCACCACTAAGTACGCTGTCGGTTCTCTGTCAGACTAGACTAGTCATTGTCTGTCGGCACTGGGGGATGTCTCCGAGTGACGCTTGTCAATGGCTCCAGCCTGGTTGGATCGACACTCTGGTCATATTGTCCACCCTCCCAATGCAGTAGCCTCAATGCTGTTCTCCTCGGATCGAGTCCCGGAAGATGGTTAGATGGCGCACCATCGCTTCTTCAGTGGTACCGCTACAAGGCTAACTGATTCGTTGTCTGGCCACAATTATCTACGTAGGAGAGGAGCCGGATGCCGGTGCTGGACCTAGGGCGGGCCTAAGTCCAGAGCTCCCCTCCAGCGGCTGTAGATGACGGTGTTTTAAGAGCTCGGGGTCTCTCTTCGGTGTTTTTTCGTTGTCATCTGTTCGCTCACCAACCGCAATCAACAACAATGAGCGTTGGCGAAGACCTCCTCTCCAAGGTCACGGTGACCAACGTGATCTTGGGTGTGGTTGTCTATGTGGTCCTTCAGTTTGTGCGCCAAATCGTCTATTATCACTTTTTCCATCCATTGTCGAAATTTCCTGGTCCATTCTGGGGCGGCGTCACCCGACTCTGGATTGCATGGCATAATCTGCGCGAGACTGAATTGCAGACCGTGTACGATCTCACAAAGAAATATGGTATGCTAGACCATCGTACTACCCGGATAGAAGTTCACGAAAGAAATCAAGCCTAACTTACCGTTTGCAGGCCCCGTAGTACGCATCACTCCCACCCTCCTGCTCGTCAGCGACCCCAAAAAGCTCCCCGACATTTACCATCGCAATGCCGACAAAACGGGACACTACATCACCGGATCTTTCGGCGAGACCGAGTCTCTGTTCAATATGCGCTCCCACAAGACGCACGCGGCATTTAGGAAGCACATCGCAGGCCCAGTACGTTCAACTCGACCCTTTGAATTTTCCCAGAATCCACACGACTGATCCCCTGCGCAGTACAGCTTTAGCAGCGTCAAGCGCATGGAGCCGCTGCTCGACGCCCACATTGAGCATTGGCTACAGAAAATCGACGAGAGGTTCGCCAGCACGGGCGCTGGCTTCGACTTCTCATGGTGGGCAGTGTGAGTGCAGTGCCATTCCCAGAGACTCTCCACTTCATTCCGCAAACTATACTGACATCCTCCAAGCTACATGGCATACGACATCATCAGCGAGGTCGGCTTCGGTGCGCCCTTCGGCTTTGTCGAGCAAGGACAAGACGTCGGCGGTCTAGTACAAGGCTTCCACGACGGACTGCCAGCATTCGGTCTCCTGGCGCGCCTCCACCCCTTCACCAGCTGGATGAAAACAACTTTCATGAAGAAATACCTAGTTGCGACTCCCCAAGACGACTCCGGTATTGGAGTCCTCATGCGCTTCCGCGACCGACTCATCGACCAGCGCCTGCGCGATCTCGAAGAAAAGAAGGACATCGGCCGGATCGATCTCCTCCAGACCTTCCTCGAGGCCCGCACCGAGGAGGGCAAACCTCTCGACATGGACTACATTCGCGCAGAGGTTCTGTTGGTCCTTCTGGCTGGCGCCGACACCACCGGAACTGTCTTCCAGGCACTGGTGCACAACCTCATGACCCACACGGAGGTGTACGAGCGCATGATGGCCGAGATTGATGATGCTGCCCGAAAGGGTCTCATCAGTCCCATGGCCCAGTACCAGGAGATCGTCGAGCACTTGCCCTACTATGCCGCGTGTGTCCGCGAGACTTTGCGCATGAACCCTGCCGCGCCGAACATCTTCCCTCGATACGTCTCCGAGCCGGGTATCGATTTATATGGCCAGTTTGCGCCCGCGGGCACGGAGATCTCGTCTAATCCGTGGATTGTTCAGCGCGATGAGGGAGTGTTTGGTGCAGATGCGAATGTGTTCAACCCGGAGCGCTGGCTGGATCCGGAGCGCGCAAAGGTCATGAATAAGTATATGTTTACTTTCGGGTACGGGACGCGAGTGTGTTTGGGCAAGGATATTGCTATGATGGAGCTGTTTAAAGGTCCTTTGCAGGTTCGTCCCGTCCCTTCCACCTTCTTTCAAATTCATTTAATATCTGACTAATCGAGTAACAGCTCTTCCGCAAATTCAAGCTTCATTCGATTGCGGGCAAGCCTTCCGCGCATTTTGTGATCAAGGGAGGCGTGGGATTCTGGCGCGATATGTGGGTGACTGTGGACAAACGGGGGGCTGTGAAGGCGACGTAGTTGGAGCCAGCTTATATTATCCCCTTTTTGGCTCTGTTCTATCTCAATCGTTTTTCTCTTCATCACTCTCCCAACATGATCGACCCAGTCATAGACCCGTCCTTTACTTCATGACCTTAACCGTCATTGGCTGGTGACTGACCAGGTGTAGTGGTAATTACCTTGACTGGTCCTGACGAGGCATAATAAATTTCCCCTAGTATTATGGGCTCGAGTCCTGCAGCCGCTACATATATTCTCGACTATCTTTGAGGAAGAGTGACTGTGCATAGATTAGTAGAAGTCCCAACAGTAGTACTAGGAAGAGGCTCAGGGAGATTATCGATATTCCCATGGGGTTTATTTTCATACTATCTATGTCTCTACAGGCCGACTCTATAGCACTGCCACTAAATAATATTAAGCCTATTGATAGGAATCTTCTCAGAGTATGAAGACTTTCTTATAGTAGGTGCGATTACCTACTAGTAGCATGCATACATACATCCTGATGTGGTGTTAGAGACAGATTGACGGTCTTCGTTAGTAGTCAGTGAGTGATGCTAAATTTATATAGATTATGAAGCTGTAGTAGTCATTGAAAGTATGTATAGCCAGCATCTAACAAAATCATTGAAGGCTCGAGTGAACTATAATAAAATCAATTCATCATTACATGATTGGCTAGTGGATTCATCATGAACCATTACATTAGAGTCTTCTATATAATCGTATGGTGTGACATCAACAAACTCCCACCGATGCCTTCTTTTTCCTACTATCAATCACTACTACCACCGTCAACAACAGCAGCACATATCCAAATCATATAACCTCATCATCACAACATAATCCCCGCCCTCCTCACCCTCTCAAACGCCCCAAACCATGACGTCCTCGTATCCATCTCCTCACTGAACCCAATCTCCCTCGCTCTCCCCAAATCAAACGGGCGATCAAAGTCCATCAGTCTCAGACTCCCCATCCTGGCCCCCGTATTATGCATGCTGCGATAGATCACCTCCTCTTTCACCCCCTCCCTCTCGCTACATAATCGTTTCAACTCCTCCCAATTCCGATCGATATACTCCGTCGGATGCAGAGATCTTCCCTCCTCAGGCCCCACCCCTTCCAGCCCGAAATACGACGCCAGGATGGGCCATCGCTCAGACCACGCCACGGGGCGTGCGCTGTCGGCGATGTTGAACGCTCGGGTATGGACTTTTTCACGCGGTTGGAGGGATGCGTGGATACAGAAGCGCGCGATTATGTCTTGGTTGGAGTCGGTGGATTGGAGGGTCCAGGTTGTGCTGTTGCCGGGGAAGGGGACGCGGGCGTTGGGGCCTTCGAGGGCGCGGTACAGGGAGAGGTAGATGCCCATTGTTTGGGCCATGCAGTTGGCGTTGCCGAAGGGGGCGAGGCCGACCTATGGTTTTTGTTGTTTAGTATGTTTGGTAAAGGGGTGGTGGAAGGGGTGTAAGGACGTACTATCACGTCCGGACGGACTTCACACCATGACCAGGACTTTCCGGTACTGAGCTCTTGCAACAGGTCGACTTCATGGTAGTAGAAGAGGTCTTTGGCGTATTCGGCTGGCACGCGGGGAAGGTCTTCTTTTAGGGGTATTTGGTTCCGGAAGGGGAATTTATCGAGGAGGTAAACGCCGTATGCCTGTTGGATAATACAAGTGTGGTTAGCTTTATGCACGTGGAAAATTATGTGTTTCTGATATGGATATGTAGGTGACCTACCTTTGTGCCAGTAATAAGAGTAACGAAAGACAGTTTGGGCGAGAGATTCTCTAGCGTCTGAACAGCCGCTCGAAGCATCTCTTTGTTCAGGCGACATTCTTCCTCAGGGACATCGCTGGCACGATATGCTGCACAGATATTGAAACACGCACGGTTAGCCGCACTAACAGAGAAGGTATGCATGCGATACGGAAGCGGACTACATACCAGCATAGTACACGTGGCTGATCGTCTCGACAGAGGAGATCTTCTCCGCCAGGGTCTTCTTCAGCGCTGCATCGTCGCCCACCAAGAGGTCCACGCCGGAGACAATCTGGAGACGATCGTCTGTTGGCCACTGGGCCTCCTCAGCCGTGAACGCACGGTTCGCAACCGCCGTCACTCTGCTGAAAGTCCCTGGGGCTGGGTAGTTGTTGAGTAGCTGGTTGACCAGGGCCCAGCCGTTGATGCCTGAACAGCCGAACACGATGGCATGGTGGCCTTGAGAGGTTTGGGATTGCTGCTGCATGATGAATCTAATGAGGGGAGCAGGGCTGATTTGGGGCCCAGGTTCTATGCTGAGAAGGGCTCACCAGGGAGACGGCACAGAGCTTCATGCATTAAGGACAAGGGGGTCAGGTCTGATTCCAGGGGGTGTCATGCTGGCTCCCAGTTTACCCAGGTACCCTGGCTCATTGCACATTGCTGTACACATCGGGCTGCTGTCCAGGCTAATCGGTTAATTGCTTGTTGGCTTGACTTTCCTGTGCCTATGGGAAACCGCGGACTGGCATCAACCCATCATGGTGGGGACAAACATCAGACTTGTGGCGCTGCGATACCGCATGTCGGCCAGACTCCGCCACGCTAATCGCTCCGGGGAGATATATCGCGGCGTATTAAGAACTCAGTAGAATGACAATGGCTTAGTAGGTCATTAGTGGCATTAGAGTGGCACGAATCGCGTGAGCAAGGATCTTTTCGCGGACGCAGTTAGTCGACTGCACTACGGCTCTCGGCTGCGAACATGAAATTTTCGGTTGGTGATAAACTGGACGCAGTAGCGGCCACGTCCAGCAGGGATTGTTTCTTGCGAGAGCAAAGAAGCAGCAGGTCGGGTGGATCAATAATCCTTTCTACCGCGCGATTTGATGAGCATCGATGACGACTGATACAAAGGACATTGAGCCTTGCCCGGTACTACCAGAAAGGGGAAAGCCGGAGAGAAGACGGACGATTCAATTATACCACTACGGCCTCAGAGATAGGAAGGTTTGATAGGTGGACTATCCGACTAAGAGCCAAGACGCATTGATCAGTTACTAAATAGCTTTAATCAAATTGGCTACCCCTTCGTGGCTTGGCATCCCACGGCTGGCTCCTCCGATTCCTCGGGGATATATGGTCAGCCGAGACAAGCTCGCTCTAAGGCCGCCATACTCGGTTTGGCCGTAGTCGAGGAAAATGAAGGGTCCGGTTGTGTGTGCCTTCCGATCTATGTTGGGGAAGGGAGTGGCTGGCGGAAGACAGATTCTAGCATTCAAGCCAAACTCTCCCTGATTCTCGAGCTGATTATCTCCGAGGGCCATGCAGCCGCATCTACAGAGGCAAACAGCGCCCTGGGGAGCGTTACGAGAACGGCAGGCCTAGGGAAACCTGCTCGTGGCCTCAAGTGGCGCACATGCTAGTTAATAGTCACTTTGGCCAACGCGTACGCAACCCGGGGAGAAACACCGACAGCAAGCATCTTGCGCTAGCAAGTAAAGGAGGCTTGATTATGGGAGGTTTCATTGGGCTCGGAGATAATGAGAGTTGGATTCCACCACGCTAAGTGGGCCTCCTCGATATTAAGCATGAAATTGCTCGTCCCGCGTATGAGTGGAAGACAGCCCGTCGACCTCAGAACTCACAAACGAGAGAGCATAGTAAAGCACCACTTGAATGTCAATTTTATCTAATGTCATGAAACTGGCTAGTCTGCCCACTTCTTTTGGTACCAAACCTTCATTTTCGTCTCGCTCCAGGGTTCCCATCGATTTCTCAAAAGAGCAGCGCCCCCCGGAAGTCGTCCGTGGATCCTTCTCGGATGATAAATAACTTTTCCGAACGGGTCCACCTCCCATGCCCTAAAGGATTGACTTGGGCGCTAGATTCGATAGCATCTCGACTTTAACCCTTGGTCGCTATCACGCATGGTACCATTGCAGCTAGATTAATCGATCGATGGGGGTGTGTGTTTGTGCTAACTTAGCAAATGGTCCGCACACACAACTTCGATCCGCCCATTGCAAGTAGGGATGAACCTGAGAGTCATAGATTACAAGATTATAGACTATATAAAAATTTTGTAAAGAGACGATCCAGCTATATTACACATCAATCACTTTCGTTAACACTCACATCGGTGGTAACGTGAATGCCTTCATGAGCCCCGATGATACGCTCCTCCGAGCCATTGCGACTAGCCTCAACATCGGCCCGGCTCTGCCCCGTCACAGTATTAAGCTTGATACTCTGGTGACCCATGAGAGATCGCCCGTTATTGGTCCGACGCGTCGATGTTCCATATATCTTCGACCGTCCGGTCGAGTCTCCCTTGCTGGAAAGCCCGAGTAGCCGTTGTAAAGCAGGGAATCGGAAGCTAATGAGCGATTTGAAAGAAGGGATGCAGGCGATGAAGATGGCCACAGCCACTTCAACACTGGACCAATTGAGAGTGTTAACAAGTGTCCCTGTTCAAGTAGTAGGTGACCTATTAGCCGTAGCACACGTAAGGGTTCAAAGGGAGAGGCAACATACAGGTGTGGTCGTCAGAGAAGTTGCTTATATACGTCGCTCGAATTATACTCGTGATGGAGACCCTAGAACTCGCGGTTATTCGTAGCTCTCAGGTGAACTTCAGCTAAGAGGGAACCAGCGTACAGAACACCCAATCCAAACATCATCACTAGTCCGGCTCGTTTGCCTAGCGTCATATTTAATCGCATCACTTTCGGAAGAGGGAGAGCGAAGAGCGCCAGATCAGTAGCCAAGCGGATCCCGAAGGAGATGTAGTAGAAGGCCGTAAGAGACAGACACTGGCCTTTGACGTTGCCACTGGCATCCCATGCCTTGTGAATCGGTGAGCATTGGAAGATCACGACGAATGTTTCTTCGATTGTTTCGGCGACAAGTAGGCCCAGGAGAGTCCAGCAAGCGATGCGAAACCCCTTTCCAGGGAAGATCTGCAGGTATAAGAGGCAGAAGGAAACCTTGACGGTGCCGAGGGCGAGAAGATACGCAATCATGCTGACAAAGTCGAGCTGTAAATCAATGGAATTGAATGAGCATATAGACAGACTCATTCATTAGTATATCCCAAACCTTGAGAAACATCTCCAGCTTCTCCGAGCTATGTATAGTCGCAATGTGCTTTCCGTAGCCATATCGGGTCACTGTGGGAGTGAGACTTGTTAACTTCATTAATCGGGTGTATACATTTGATTCATGGCAGCTTACTCCAGATACACACAAAGCACAGAACAAATGTGAAGATCTTGGGCAACGAAGCGTCAGTATCTGGGAGGGCATAAGCAAATTCAACGGGGCCAGGAAGCGTACCCAGCTGACTACACATAACAAATCATCAAAGTTTATGCCTGAGAGATATCGAAGTCGGACGAACAGACGGACTAGAAGCCCACCGGTCGCAATCACGAGAAGAATAGTATTGCAGGCAATGATTGACGACACTCGGGATGCCTGCAAGTCGACCGACCCTCCGGTCGACGACACGTCCTTCCACACAACTTCCATGGAAGGGTGTTTGTCAATCTGGCCTGGCAAGGAGGAAAGAAGGGCGAGGGAAGTCGCAGTCCGAGCAAAGTCTCGGAGTCTACATTCGCGGGGGTATTTCGAAACATTATTCCAGATACATGGATAGTACTAGGCGCAGGATGCAGGATTCAGGATGCAGGATGCAGAAATGGGACTTCTCCGAGCGATCCGTCTCGAGGTTTCGGTTGGCTGAGGGGGGAGAGACCACGATCCATGGCCGTTAGATGATACGGCATCTGGACACGAGTTGAACATGAACGACCCTGGCCATATGGGCAAGGAACAATTTGTGTGCTCCACCCGCTCTTAGGAACAGAAATGCTAGTTGTCCAACTAGTATGGCGCCGTGACACCGTCGGGCTCCACGAAGGCACTAGGCAGGGATCAAAAAGTGCCCTAATTTCACCCCTCTCGAGTCGGCCGTCCGCAGATGGTTTGATGTCTAGAACTGGGCCCAGATCAGTCGTCTTCATTCCGATTCGTCATGGCTTCATTCTGCTGCTGCTGCTTTATCGGCCATTTTGCTTCCCACGTTTTAACCGGCTTTTCTTTTAACTCTATCCCCCTGTCTCCTTCCTTCCCTCGTCCTCTTCACATATCCACACCGCCAGTAATTTTTCCAGGGCAGGATGACGGACGAGAAGAATGCCCGGGAGCTAACGGCCACCCCTGTCGACTTGGATGAACTGCCGGCCGGATACTACTGCAGTAAGAACTTTGTTGGCTCTCTTATTGCCGTGTGTTTGATGGCCATCAGTCTCTACCTGGGCTATGTCTTACCGGTCGGTCTTTCTATTCGTTTCCTCCGGCAAGCTTTTCGCTGATTATTCAACAGGTAAATAGCTTGAGCGCCATCAATGCTGACCTGGGTAAGTTTATCTCCCCTCTACCTCAAACTACCTGAGACGTATTGTCCAGCAGTTGCTGACTGTCTTTCTACTTGCAGGGCCAGACCCCAGCTACAGCTTGATCTCGACCGTTTTCACACTGATCTCCGGAGTATGAGCACCCTCTCTCTGGCAAACCATGCATCTTCCATGTATATATAGACTTGCTAAACCCGCTCTAGGTCGGTCTTCTCTTGGTAGGCCGCTTAGGAGACCTCTTTGGCCGCCGATACATCCTGATTGGAGGGCAACTACTTGGCCTTATCGGCGCCATAGTCTGTGCAACAGCCAAAACCGTTCCCACCGTTATCGGAGGCAGTGTCCTCTGCGGTCTGGCTGCTGCAGTGCAATTGACTTTCAGCTTCGTGATCGCTGAGCTGGTCCCCAACCGTGCTCGTCCGGTCGTCAATGCTGGCATCTTCATCACAACGCTGCCCTTCTCAGCGTTCGGTTCTCTGATTGCAGATCTGTTCATCGCCAACACCGCCCGCTCCTGGCGCTGGACTTACTACCTGAACATCATCACCTGCGGTCTTTCTATCATTTTGCTGGTGCTGTTTTACTTCCCTCCAGGCTGGGATGCCAAGCGCGGAAATGAGAGCCGCATCGATGGTCTCAAGAAATTCGACTACATTGGCTTTCTCCTATACGCCGGCGGACTGATCCTGGTCCTGCTTGGTCTCTGTGAGTCTCCCGTTCCAGCTCTTACTCGGTTTTTCCATGGTGCTAATTCAATCCCATCAGCATGGGGCGGCTCATCGTATGCATGGCACTCAGCCCATGTCATCGCTGTTCTGGTCATTGGATTCGTCTGCTTGCTCGCTTTTGCCCTATATGGTACGTGAGCCAGCCATGCACCCCAGACTACTTAGTAAACTGACTCACTTGCTCCCCACCCAACAGAAATATTCGTCCCCTTGCAGCAGCCTCTCCTGCCCATGTCCTTACTCCGAAACCGCGGATACGCCGGTGCGGTGTGCTCGGCCCTAGTAGGAAACATGGTCTACTTCTCCATGAGGTATGCTTATACCCCCCCAATCTCCTTGATGACACTCTAACAACAAACCATTACAGTCTCCTCTGGCCAACCGCCATCGCCGACCTCTACACCACAAACACCATCAAAACGGGCTGGCTTTCAGTGAGTATACCCTTCCCCACCACCAACAAATCATCATCCCTAATCACATCCCACACATAGATCTCCACCGGCGCCGGCGTCATCGTCGGCGAAGTCGCCGCCGGCATCCTGATGAAACCCGTGGGATACACAAAATACCAACTGATCATCACCACCCTCATGATCACCGCCTTCTCCGGGGCCCTAGCATCCATTAACCAATACCGCCAGGCATACGGCATCGCGGTCCGCCTTCCCTTCCCCCGCACTCCTTCCCCCTAACCCCCTCCCACTTGTCAATCACCTAAACTGACGATGAAATAAACAGTTCACCGCCCTCGGCGGCTTCTTCGTCGGCTACCTCGAACTGATAACCATAATCATGTGCCCCCTGTATTGCTCACCCCAGGACATCGGGCTAGCCAGCGGCTTCCTCGGCTCCGCAAAGCAAGTCGCCGGCACCATCGCCACCGCCATCTACGTCGCCATCCTGGACAACCGCGTCACGGTGGACTTGCCGCGCGATGTATCTGCTGCCGCATTGAACGCAGGACTGCCTTCATCCTCGCTGACGGATCTGCTGGAGGCGGTGTCGGCGGGGACGACGGCAGCGTATGAGGCTGTTCCCGGCATGACGAATGGTATTCTGGGGGCTGTGACAGAGGCGGTGAAGACGGCGTATTCGCAGTCGTTTCGCACGGTGTTTTTGGCGAGTATTGCGTTTGGCGGACTGTCGGTGATCGCGGCGTGTTTTGCCGAGGGGGTGGATGGGAGGTTTACGGGCGATGTGGCGGCTAGGTTGAAGGGTGTGGATGGTGGTGGTTCTGGAAGTGAGGAGAAGTTGAAGGATGGGAAGGTTTAAATATGTATTTACGGGTTGGGTTTGTTTGGTGATTTTCATTTGTGTATGTGGTAATGATAACTTTGGTGTCATATTAATGAGCTTGATTACAGTTTCCTTATCACTAGCTGACTATAGAGGGTAATAGTAGTATGCTGGAAAATCATGTAATTCACTAATAGATGGCTGTCTATATTACAACATTGCGTTGTGTGTATATATCCGAGGTCGGTATAAACATGGGCAAGGAAATAAGCTGTTCACGATCGTAAAGAAATTCAGACATTATGTGATTGAACAGAAATGAGCCACACCAGCACGGGTGCCCGATAGGCGAGCCAGTGCTGGCTGAGCTCAGGGGGTAGGTAGGTGTATAATCGGCAGGACGAGAGGTGGTAAGAGGAAAGAAATAATAAAAAGAAAATGCACCGTGAAGTTGGGGAATACCAATAGAATGAAGAAATTCGAAGGAAAACCGACCAACTCCAGGGTAACTCAGAAAAGAAAAGAAAAGGAGAAAAACAATGGCAGATAACTTCATAGAAGGCATCAAAAATGGAAAATAGATAATGAGAAAGTTGCTGAATAGCTTTTGGTCAAATCGCAACGAGTCGGATGTGGTGTGTGTGTATATCGACAGTTTTCGGGGGGAAAGAAGCAGGGTAAAGTGACTCGGACTCTATCTATACAGGGTATGTCGAGGGATCGCTGCGGCTTTTGAGTGGACTGTGAGGCATTTGGGGTTCCATGCTGGTGGAATCGACGGCTAGAAGTTGGCTTGAAAATGCCGATTGGTCTCGGCTGGTGCTCTCGGAAGACTCACGACGCTGGAGTCCAAAGGCCACGCTACTCGCGTTGGCGCTGGTCACTTGACTGCCCAGGTTGGTTGGCGCGCCTTGGGCATCGACTAACGGGGCAACAGGCGTCGAGTCCGCCGTGCGGTCGACTCCATGAGGCATGGGATAGTCGCGGCTAACGTGAGGCTGCGGGGTATGGCCCCCGTCCGAGGGAATGGTCGAGGCTTCGCTGTCCGATGAAGCTGCCAGCTTGGTGACACCGGGAGGCACATATGCTTCGTACTTCTTTAAGTAGTCGAATTGGCCCAGGATCACTTGTTCTCGGACGATGTCGACATCCAGCGGGAAGTAGACCTTCTGAATGCACTTGATGACGAATCGTGGGATGAGACACATCACTACGGTCAGAAGAAGGACCACCCAGAATGATAGCGCACCATAGACCTGACGGGCAGCGCCATAGAAGGTCATGGAGGACTCGAAAGATGAGTAGACACCAGTCCAGAAGAAGATCAACAGTGAACTGATCGCGTTGATCAAACTGGTCAGCCAATCCCAACGGTACATGTTCATCATCACGTAAGTGTTGCTAGCAACCACAGCACAGGTAGCGACTAACACACCCACGCGGTACCTGTCATCGATGCTGAGTCCGTTTTCTGTTTGGAAATTGGCCACAGAGTACAGCCTGTATGGCATGAAGAAACAGATGATGGATTGGTAGAAGCCGTCGAGCATGTAGATCCTGATCTACCCGTTAGCTTGAACTCATGACCGCAGACTTGGGATGTAGCAGGCAGACTCACCAAAACTTCAACTGCGTCCACTCCTTACGCTCAATACCCCGCATGTAGAGCTGCGGTACGGCCAGAGACACCCTATCATCGACATCCTGATCGAAGATTCCCATGAAGATGACTGGTAGAGAAGTGAACGCAACGTTCACCAGGGTGATATACGTGTATTCGAAGAGGTAGGAGCCGTCGAAGTTGTCATAAATCGAATACCAGAACAGCGCGAACGTCCAGACCAAGTTCTAGGCAAAATCAGTATCAGAGATCTAACCCAAGCTATAACCCGCCGATGACTCCACTCCGACACCAGAGGATTTACTTACCTTGTAGAAGAAATTGGCCGTGGTCTCACCCAGCCGTCGATACGACCACCGTCCATGCACGAGAATGAGACGCTGCAGAAACCGGAATTGACCGATGGCGTAATCGGCACACATGACTGCCTGGCGACCTTCCTCTCCTGCAATACCTACACCAACATCCGCTTTTTGGATCATGGCGACATCATTGGCGCCATCTCCAATCGACAAAGCCATGATGTTCAAACCAGTCTTGACCATATCAACAACGGCCGCCTTTTGGGCGGGACTGACACGGCAACAAAGGACGGACTTGCAGCGCCGGCAAAGCAACAAGAATTTCTGCCTCAAGGCATCGTCTAACATCAATCGAAGACAGTCCCCATCGAGGACAAGGGCGTGGGTCGATGGCGGTGGCGAGTGGTCCTGGCGTGCCGCGGCTAATTCCTCGTCGGAGCCAGTGATTCCAAACTGTTCGAGCTTGCTGTCCAGCTCCTTCGCAGCCATATCAGAATCCGGTGCACTCAATACCATAATATCCATGTCGTTGTTCAAAAGATTGCAGGAGTAGCCGATGTTAATGGCGGTTTCGATCTTATCACCTGTCAAGACCCAGAGCTTGATACCGGCGTCAGCCAACAAAGAGATGGTATCGGGAACACCATCTTGCAGCCGATCTTCAATGGCTGTGCCACCCAGGAGCATCAGATCCTGTTCAATGATACCAGCGACCTCATCCAGTTTCTCTTCGCGGTCCACGATGGCCGCTGCAGCCACGTCATGCTTAAGACTCCATTCGCGGTAGAATTCCTCGTCAAGAATACGTTCTGCCACACAAAGCACACGAAGACCTTCTTGAGCAAAGGTCTCAAGATGCTGGGAGGTGATATCCCTCAACTCCCGTTGTTGACCAGGAGCCAAGCGAGAGTAGATGACTGTGTCAGCGCCCTTGCACAGCAAACGGATGGTTCCGTCCGGCATTTGAACGATGACACTCATTCTCTTACGCGTCGAGTTGAACTCCAGGATGTTTAGAATCCGATAACTGCGTTCTTCGCCCATGATGTTGACAAGGAGGCTATCTCCCGAGCGACCCATCGCTGTAAACCCACAATCTCGAGCAGTAGCCACCAAGGCAGCCTCATCAGGAGACTGGGCTTTGAACTCGATTTGCGGAGGGTCGCCTGGGATCCGTTCCGTAACCACTGTGTGGCACAACGCCAGCGCGGCCATGAAACTCTCGGCAGCCTGCTTCTGGACATCGCCGGACGCACCACCTAGATCCGCTGCGTACTGAGGCGAGACAAAGGTCAGGTTTTCATCCTTAAGGTATGGGTTATCGTGCAGTTGACGCAGTCGCTGCAGCATCTCCACGCGACCGTCGCTGATACGTTGACGAGCCTTGGCAGCTTCCTCCTCCACGTTCAATAAACCCTGTCGTCTCTGCATTCCCAACTGGGCCTCGGTATAGGCCTCGCCATATGCGACCCCGTTGACCGTACATTTCTTGAATTCCATAACGTTCTGTGTCAGAGTACCTGTCTTATCCGAGAAGATATATTCAATCTGCCCGATGTCATCGGAGATGTTCCAAGCTTTTGGAACGCAAGACATCTGCAGCCGCTCGTAGTACATGTGCTGGTCGAAGAATATAAAGAGCGCTTGGATCCAGCGCACAATTTCCAATGAGATGTACAGGGCAATGGGAACCAAGTTCTGAAAGAGAACCACACCCACCCAGAAGGCAACAACACCTTCCACGGCGGCGGATCCGCCATAAGAGCCGTATTCGAAGAAAGCCAAGGATGCATCATCCAGTCCCCAAGCAAAGCCGTTGATAAAACCGGAAATCAAGCACATGATGAAGAGGATGGCAAAATTGTAAAGAACGTTCCAGTTCATATTACGTGCCATTTGCGGTCGCTTAGTCGGGGTGATGCCCTGATTCAGCATGATCTTGGATTCCGAACCGGTAAACAAAGCTACACCCAACGCCCATTCCGTGTTCTGAAGGCTGCAGCCACGGAGGAGGATATTGTTGATGGTAATAGGCTCCACGCGTTCCTGGGGGGGCGCCTCAGGATCGTCCTGTTGGTTCCAGTAGATGGCACCACTGAACGAATACAGGTTCGCATGCGGGGGAGGGCTCTCTATAATGAATTCCGCTCTTTCACAGTCGCGAGCATTCCGTACCGCGCGACCACAATTAAGGGCATGGCGAACCTTCAAATTGGTCTCCCCGTCCAGGTTTTTGGTTTCCACATAGCAGGCACCGTCCGGGTCAGAGGTTGAGAGAATGACCATGTCCGCTGGGATCTGGTCACCGTTGTATAGCCGCACAAAGTCACCGACGTTGACATCTTTCCAATGCTGACGTTTGAAGCGAGCCTGCCCGGAAGCAGTTTTGGTCGGATTGAGGATGTCGCCTTTGACGCGGCCCGAGGCCGCATTTCTACCGTGTTGATCTGCAGGATCCGGCCAATCTCCGGAAGCACGGGCATCGAGGGACACGGCCCTCAACTCGATCGGAGAGGTGGGTTCCACGGATGGCCGGGCATCCGCCATCTCAACATCTCCCGCCACGTCTTTGTCCGCGGACTTGCGGCGCACGAGCTTTTTCATGCCACGGTAAGTGTAAATGGTGGCCCGAGTACAGGCCTTTTTGAACTTGCGCCACGCGGACACGTTGTCCAGGGTGGCGTTGACATTGTGCCAATCGGTCAGACGATAAACCGGGGAGTTGTTGAGCTCGTTATCGGACACTGTTCGCCTCCAATCCTCGATTGCGTCCTTGATTGAAGTGACCACCACGATGATGATCAGGGGGACGGCACTCAGGCCCGGGTCAGCATCTCCAAATAGGAAAAGCACTGCAGAATAATGACGAATAAGAAGTAAAGATTGGCAATGTTGTGGAACTGCAACCACAGGTTCTTCGGAATAAACGTCAATGGCGTGTAGATGGAGGTGCGAATTTTGTTGCGGGGATAGACGGTCTTCAGATTGCCTTCCTCATCCCGCTCACTGTCCGGGATGGGGAGGTTGAAGTAGACTTTCCGCGATGAAGCTGTTTCTGTTTCATTGCTCTCTGGCCCTGCGGTTGCTGCATCAGTCGTGTTGTTCCGCGTATTACGTCGATTGTCACGTTCCAGAATGGAGACTCTCTTCCGAAGACCGCTGGCGGCGGTCATGCGTTTTGTCGCCCATCGTGCGCGCTTAGTAGATTTGGCTTCCTGGTTGGGAATCGGGGGAACCTCGTCGGAGGCCCGACTCAGTTCCTCGTCCCCTTTCCCTTGTATGGGATCCATTTACAATGGGTGATTCCCGGACTATGTTCAACGGCGGACGGCAATCATCGGATCGGCTAGGACGGAGGGACCCTGCGTGAGGCGGCCACGCAGGCCTTCGGGGAGCAAGCAATCACAGTCGCGCAGTGGATTGACACGGCATGACGAAGGATGGCGGATTCGAGACAGGGAGCGGAAATTTGTCGCAATAGTCCGCTCCAGACCCGGTCGCTTCTTCGAACCCGACGAAATGAACGGCGGGGAGGAGAGGCGGGGGTGGTGGTTGTTCGCGAGATCGCAACGATCGGAGGGTTCGGCGAGAGTAACAGAAAATCAAGTGTAGCGGAGCTAGCAGGGTAGATCAAGGGCGGACGGGGCTTGACGCGCGTATCGGGGGGGAAAAGCGACGCGGGATGTATCGAGGGGCAGTTGAGCGTCAGCAACAGTAAGATGCCAGGAGGTGGAATGCGGAGGGAAGTGGAGGAGTCAGAAGAGACAGAATGGGGGAAGAGAAGCCGCAGGATGGCTGGCAGAAAGGCTCGGGGCTGGAAGAAGAGGAGGAGGCAGTGAGAGTAGTACTAGTAGTGAGAACTAGTCAGTAGAGTGAGGAGGCGAGCTCAAGCCTGAGCCGGGACTGGCCGGCGACGGGCCCCAATTCGTGGATGCCGCACTGAGGCAACCCGTCCACTAACCCCCATTGAGCCACTCACAGCCCTCCATCTGGTTAGTATTGCGCTGACTCAGCCGTCCCCCGGGTCGGCTTAGTTAAGCCCATGGCCTTCTTCGGGTTTTCTCTGGCCTTCTTCTTCTAATTAATTTGGCTCGGATTTTAAGGTTTTCCTCCCATCTTCCGCTATCCGTTCTGTTCTCGGAGTCGGGGTGCCGGAGTCAAGCAGGTCAAGAGGAAAACAAGGGTTGGCTCCAGTGGCGGTTCCCTTGTACCCTGGATCCGCAAGGCTGGGTCGACATCGATTTTGCTGCTGACGGCTTGCTTAGTAGTAGCAAAGTAACCACCAACACGAGGTATCCAGCATCTACCAAGTGCTAACTGTGAATTGCCCCTCCGGATGACGGGGCAGTGTGCTGCTTATCAATCCGGGATGGGCCATCTTGCCCCTTTCAGTATTCTCTTGCGCAGAATAGCCGTCACTATATTAACTTATGCACTTTTATCCGGTATTGCTTCCGCTATAGCCAGCTCGGATCCCAACGATCTCACTTTTTCATGCAATGGTTTATTGCTACTACTGTGTCAGAGAAAGGGATCAGTAGGTGACAACAGTACCACAGTACTTGTCGTAGTCGTACTGAACACGCTACTGCAATGTATCTCTTTTGAGGGGCTGTGCCTTGCGCTCAGGGCAGCATGGTGATGTCGTAATCTGTAGTTGCATTTTAAAGGCTAAATATATACTACTCGGCAGGAGTGTCACAGCCGCATAAGGACAAAGGAGGATACTACTAATAGTACCAGTAGTAGTTTCACTAATAAGCTGACAGGAACTACTAGTAAGCACCATCAGGATCTTTCGACTATGGACATGATGTACCCCCTTAGAAAAAAGCAAATAATAATATTATTAACCAACATCAATAGTAGTAGTACTTCGTAGCAGCTGCATATTGGACCGCCATCCAGTACTGACCGCTTTCCTCCAGGGGATATTATGCCGCCAATATATGCAAGCACAGTTATGTAGAGGTTCTGTACCTGCAGATGTAAGGAATCCTCAAAGGGAGTAACAGTTGAAGCAATATATTCATTAAGGGTCGTCCAGATTGCTCCTAGGTAATTATTCACCAATCGCGAGCAATATAATAAGAGTCCGTCAAAGTGAAGGGAGACCACTCAACCTGACACACCGCCTACCGACCGACATCATCATTGTTTACTCTACTCCTCATCATCCGGATCCTCTCAACCCCTCTCATTTCCACTGTCCAGCATCCTCAATTCCCTTGGCAACCTTCCGGGCTCCATCCTCCACGCCGCTTCCCACGCTCCCCAATGCATCGCCGACGGGCTTCCCTGCGCTCCCCGTGGCGCCGGTGATGGTATCGCCGACACCTCGCCCCGCGGCGCCTGTCACCCCGCCAACGGTGCGAGAGACGCCCCCGACCGCGTTGCCGAGGGTCGATGTGACGAATTTGGCGGCGCCAGTCACTCCGGAATCCTGAGAACTAAAAGGCATGTTCACTGCAGTCTGGTATTTTCCCAACTGGTGATGATTTATTTGCCGTATGCAGAATTTGAGAAGTATCTGCTTGTGGAGCTTATGGCTCAGTGTCAATCCCTATGTGAGTGGGTCGGACTACATACCTCAGAAGCTGTCACGTTCGAATGGGCAGCAGCTCGCAATTATGTGCATCTATGTCCGGATATGCCAGATGGCGTCTCAAAGATATACTGTCTAACTAGTCTAACTGCTGACTGCCTAACTAACTAAGGTGCAGTGACCCATGACGTCAGTGGATTCTCGGATGCGCTGCTTCTTCCCATTCCTTCCCGCGCGCTTTCTGGACGCGCGTCCACGACCCATCCCACAGTTGCTGGACCTTTGAACAAAACAGAAGCACAAAAAGGGAATTCAAGAACAGCTTAAACTTCTCGGGCAGTCTTCCACTCTTCGTGGTGAAATATACTCCTAAAAGTCTAGTACCGGGAAGTGGGAAATGAAGACGCCTCAGTCAACCCGCCGCACAATACTTGTTTACCGAGCCATTTCGAGGATCTGCAGCACACCAGCTTTGTCGGGCATGTTCACTCTCTTCGCCAAGACGTCGGTCAAACTCATATCGGCGATCTTGTGCAACTGCTCGTCACTGGTCACGTTGACCTCGGACAGCCGGGATGGCATCCCCAGGAGTTGCACAAACCGTAACATGGCGTCAGCGGCTTCAGTCTCCTGGAACCCCAACACCGAGTTGAAGATGTCGAGGATTACCTTCTGGGCAGCCGCGCTTTGAGGCTTGGTGTATCGCAATGTTGCGGGCAAGATGATGCAACTCTACATAACACATGAAAGGTTAGTAAGTGTTTCCACAGTAGGTGGCTGTCTCGGATTTAGTTACCGTTACTCCTGGATATACGTAGAACGGTTAGTGGCTTTATACTTTCCACAATCTTGAGTGATTGCTGGACCACTTACCATGCTGCACGCCAGCGACACTCCCCTGTTACGCAGAATCTTGGTGGTTAGTAGATCATTATCGCGGTACAGTCGACGTAGATGCGCCACCAAAGAGCGGACTCACGAGTTGATGGCCGATCGCATGGCTTGGCCCCATGGGAATCTTCCATTGGATGAAGGGCAGGAGAGCATCCCGTGAACCGCGCTGACATTCCGAGATGCCTTGGAGCAATTCCTCCTCATTATGCTTTTCCTGACCGGTGTGATAATCTTTGAGACCCTGGATCAGGATTGGCAGCCCCTTCTTGATGTGCGCCGTGGCTTCCTCGTGGCACTCGGGATTGCACAGTGTCTCCACGAAATGATCCACAGCCCGCACCCCCGACGCCAGCCACAGGTGGGAGGGCATGGTACTCGCGATGCGCGGGTCCATCAGGATCAAGCTCGGGGATCCTTCGGGGTGCACAAAGTGCTGTTTCTTGCCCTGAGCATTGGTGCCGCTGGCATAGTGGTTCCACTCTCCGGCGCTGAGACTGGTCGGCACGCAGATGAGCTTGGTGGTGGGTGCTTTAATCCCGCCGGGGCCAGCCAGACCGTGAACCTGATCGACCAGGGCTTCCATATCGTCAATGCCGAAGCCGGTGGGGAGAGTTGCACTGAGCATGACGGCGATCTTGCATGCGTCGGAGTAGGAACCGGACCCGATAGAGATGACGGCCTGAATGTCCTGTGTTTGGATGGTATGGGCAATAGCCATGATGTCCCGGTATGGGGAGTGACTTCCCACTCCCGTTTTCTTTTGTAGCACACAATGGGATAGACGGGCCTCCAAGTCTTTGATCATGGATGTTTTGGTATCGAGGGTCGTGCTCACGACCAGAAGGATGCGAGACGCGCCCCATTCCTGCAGGGCGGCCGGGATATCTTCCAGGTAGGAGGCCTCGAAGATGGCATCATGGCCCTCGCGACCGTCTAGGTCGAGTTGCTTGATCTTCTGTCGCATTGATATGGCGTGTCAGCTTGTCGACAGATTGATTCGATCGGCAACGAGCACCACGACGACAAAGCTTGTGCTTGATACTAGTTGTGACGCGTCTGGATGAACACAAACCGGATGCTATGCGGGGTACAAGTAATCGGCAATTCCGCGTGTTCAGCCGCTAGTCTAGCAGACGGTCAAACTGGACTGGGCTAATCCATACGAGGTTACTAACGATGGATGCTCTCGGGAGGCCAAGCCTCAAGTTATCGCGCGGAGGTACTGGTCGGAGATACTGGTACAATGCATGGCTGTGTTGCAAATTGATGCACGACTAAATGTAGTGCTCCACTGTCAAGTTCCAGGCTTTAGGGTTCATTTATCCTGAAATTGCAAGATGATGCGGTGGATGATGGATGGCGAATGCATCATACTCCTTATCGCTTATCGGAGCGCCTTTGCCGATGAGGACCGACTTGGATAACATCATTAACATCACCCTACCACTGCCCGTGAACTCTCCAATGAGCGCTTTCAGCACCACTCGTTCGTGAGAAGACGGCCTGATTTGGCCTCTATGCCTAGACCCTGAGTCGGTTGGATGACAAGCCTGCCGATTTCTAAGCATTCTGAAGCACCAGATGGAGTTGGGGAAAGAAAGTGGTCACGGTGACGTTTCGGTCGCAACGTCATGGTTACGTGCCAGACAGCCAATCCGACAACCCTCATTACGGAGAATGCTTGACTGGCTCGCAGAACTGGGAAGTGTTCCGATGATCATGTATCGTTATACATAATGTAGGCTCACCCCCCGGCCGCTGGAATTGTTCTGTTGCCATCCATAAGCTCTCATCGAGTTTCTTACCATTGGCTTTATTCCCAGCAACCCCCCAGATTCACTATGGCCACGGTCATTGCCGGAGGGCTTGAAAAGGCTCACGAAGCCGTCAAGTCGGCCTCTTCTAAAAACAAGAAGACGGTCGACTTGGAGCGCGACCTGGTCGATGTCACCACCGAGCAGCGTCAGACCACCGACCACGGCGTGCTCATCAGCAATACCGACAACTGGCTGCGGTCAGTCGACGACCATCGCACTGGTCCATCGTTGCTAGAGGATCAGATTGCGCGCGAGAAGGTACTTCCATATGCCTGCGCTGATACAATGGAAATTTCAGACGGCTGATCGTATCCCAGATTCACCGATTCGACCACGAGCGGATTCCCGAGCGTGTCGTCCATGCCCGTGGAACCGGCGCTTTCGGAAACTTCAAGCTACTCGAAAGCTGCGAGGACGTGACCTATGCCAAGGTTCTAACCGACACATCGCGGAACACACCAGTCTTCGTCCGCTTTTCCACCGTGCAGGGCAGCAAGGGAAGCGCTGACACGGTGCGTGATGTTCGTGGGTTCGCAACCAAATTCTACACCGACGAGGGTAACTGGGACCTGGTCGGAAACAACATCCCGGTTTTCTTCATCCAGGATGCTATCAAGTTCACTGATTTCGGTGCGTCCATCCCAATTCATTCCCGCATCCCTGACTTGACTAATTGGCGCAGTCCACGCTGTGAAGCCTGAACCCCATAATGAGGTCCCTCAAGCGCAGACCGCTCATAACAACTTCTGGGACTTTTGCTACTTGCACCCAGAAGCCACTCACATGTTCATGTGGGCCATGTCGGACCGTGCCATTCCCCGGTCCTATCGGATGATGCAAGGGTTTGGTGTCAACACCTTTTCGCTTATCAACAAAGAGGGCAAGCGCCACTTTGTCAAGTTTATCTGGACGCCTCACCTAGGAGTACATTCATTCGTCTGGGATGAAGCTCTGAAGCTGGCGGGTCAAGATCCGGACTTCCATCGTAAGGATCTGATGGAGGCCATTGACAATGGCGCCTATCCAAAGTGGGATCTGTCTATCCAGACCATCCCTGAAGAGAAACAGGATGACTTCGAATTCGACATTCTCGATGCGACCAAGATCTGGCCAGAGGATCTGGTTCCGCCCCGCACCATTGGTGTGTTGGAGCTTAACCGCAACGTGGATGAATTCTTCCCACAGACAGAGCAGGTTGCATTCTGTACATCGCACATTGTTCCCGGTATCGACTTCTCCGATGATCCTCTCCTCCAGGGTCGCAACTTTTCCTACTTCGACACCCAGATTAGCCGTCTCGGAATCAATTGGGAGGAGTTGCCCATCAATCGTCCCGTCTGTCCCGTGCTAAACCACAACCGCGACGGTGCCATGAAACACCGCATCACCAAGGGTTCTGTCAACTACTGGCCCAACCGCTTCGAAGCGGCGAAGCCCGACGAGCCCGCTCCCCAAGGGGGTGGCTTCGAGTCCTACCCAGAACCGGTACAAGGCCGCAAGAGGCGCGCGTTGAGCCCCAAGTTCCGCGAACACCACTCCCAGGCCCAACTTTTCTACAACTCCATGTCGGAGCACGAAAAGCTGCACATCGTCAAGGCTTTCGGGTTCGAGCTGGACCACTGCGATGACCCTATCGTTTACGAGCGCATGGCCGGCAAGCGTCTGGCGGAGATTGACCTGACCCTGGCGCAGCAGGTGGCGGAAGTCGTGGGCGCGCCGATTCCTCAGAAGGCCCTCATGGCCAACCACGGCCGGAAGACGATCCATGTTTCCCAGACTGAATTTCCCCCCAAGTCTCCGACCATCGCTAGTCGGCGCATTGCCATCGTGATTGGCGACGGATACGACCCGGTGGCATTCAAGGGAATTCAAACCGCCGTGAAGGTGGCAGGTGCTCTGCCGTTTGTCATCGGCACTAAGCGGTCACCCATTTATGCCGACGGAGAATTGAAGGAGACGTCGCAGGGCATCATCGCCGACCACCAGTATGATGGACAGCGATCAACCATGTTCGATGCGACGTTCATTCCCGGTGGGCCTCATGTGGAGACGCTCCGCAAGAATGGACAGATGCGGTACTGGATTGCCGAGACATTTGGCCACCTGAAGCCACTGGCTGGTACGGGTGAAGCGGCGGAGCTAATCAAGGAGGCGCTGGGTAGCGTGCTGGACGTGCAAGTGGCCACCAGCTCCAACCCACAGCCCGTGGAATGGTATGGCGTGGTCACGGCCGGTGGCGTGCAGAAGCCGGAGAGCTTCAAGGAAAGCGTGCAGATCGCGAAGGGCGCCAAGGATTTCGTGGGCATGTTCTTCTACCAGATCGCGCAGCACCGGAACTACCAGCGCGAGTTGGATGGGCTGAGCTCGACGGTTGCCTGGTAAACAGCCTCAAGCCCTGGACCCGGACGAGGGTGTAAATTGTAATGATGAGATGCTCTGTGTTCATGAGAAAATGAGTAATTAATCTATCTGCCAGTGTATGTTAGGATAACTACTACTTAATGCGATCATCAGAAGGAATTGAAGCATATTTCGCGAGAGTAGTTTCTCTCACCACCTTCCAAGACTATGCCCACCATGCGTCAAATACATTCAGTCTCAGCTGAATTAAATGTACCACGTCGGACCGCCCCCTGACTTCCAGTAAGCACTTAGTACCTAGCTGACACAACATGTGTGTAGCAACCCTGCAACAGGGGCTAGGATTGAGGTCCAAGATATAAACCTTCGTGCATATCAGAACTGGTTATCAGCTTTGACACGGTTTTGGATATATTGGTCCATTTTGGATAGCATCTGACAATCGCAACACTTGACTGAAAACAACAAGACGTATCAGCGGGTCGCAGATAGATAGATATGCATTGATAACCTACGTGTTATAGTTAAAAGTACATATTTCTAACGGTCCATGGCACACTGGCCAGTCACAACCAGAATTCATCAAAATCTAAAAGCCATTAGTCTGCTCTACAGATAACCCCGCTATTAACTCCATCTTTTCAATCGGGCGGCAGGAACGGATCGACAACACATTACATTTACATCTACAGTGAGGATGTTGCACAGTATCGTTTCTTGTGCAAGGAAATCTGCAATTCAGGGGGGCGGGGAAAATGTGTTCCTGCAGTCAAATAAGTAAAAGAAAGGCAAGGCTGCCAGCCACTCAATCTCGGCTTTATCAGGGAATACGAAGGCGCGGAGTTAAAATGTAGGATTGCGTGGGCACTGAACAAAGACTCAATCGTGCTGGGTTGATTGGGCGGGCAGATACAGGGTTAGTGAAGAAGTTGGTTAGTCTCGTGATGACTAGTTCGTTAGTTAACCGCCAGGCTTGATAAGGCACACACTGAGTGGAGCCCCCTTGCGTCTGGCAAAAAAAGAAAAACAAGTAATACTGGGAGGATGACGACTCTCAGAACTGATAAGGAAGCACAAAGTGCAACATGGGAAGCAATATAGGAGGTCTAGGGGTAGGTTGGGATGAGCTGATGGAGAGGGGAAGGTTATTCTGCGCTGGTCGGGATTTTAAGTTTTGGACCTGAGCAGTCGAGGACTGAATTATTATCATCAGGGCTGTCGAATGCATTATTGCCTATGCATGGGGTTAACTCTGCCAAGGTGGGACTACGAGAAGTGGCGGTGCGATGAGAAAGAGAATTTGAGCAGAGGGAGAGCGGACAGAGGAAGTGATTCTGACAGGTCTTTTTCCAGTCTACCCTATCTTTTGTAAAGTTAACTAGTTATCCAGTCCATCCGCATAAGCAAATAGCCCCATGCGTTATCAATCGAGTCTTTATTGGTCCACGCTGCATCCTGTCCACCTGAAACCAGCCCAATCCTGCGCCAGCATCAATCGCCTGTCATCAGAAACCTCACCATCCCCCGTTCGCCCCGTTCCCTGGTTCCTGACCACCCGGCTATATATAGCATGTCTGTTTTTCAAAATGATCCAAGAATTGAGAAGCCACCCACTCACAGACCATCAGAGGATCTACTTGACTTAAGTGTAAGTAGTAGTAGCAGTAGTTGTTGTCATGTAATTGATTCGGTTCATTCTCCGAGATTTTCTTTGGGGGTGGATAAGAACTGAACTGAACTGAACCCGTTCAAGATTTGGTCATCTCGGCCATAACTAGTAGCATTTGTGAGACATGATGGCAAACTGGATACCCCATTAACACTTCTATTTAACCAGGGTCTCCTCCGACATATTTCTGTCTCTTTTGCTTCCTTCCATCACTCTTCGATCTTTCTTCTATCATAATAATCAATTGATACCTTTCCCCCCTTTTTTCTTTAGAAACCATCTACCTCTACAACCATGCGTCTTTCTTACGCCGTGTCTCTTCTGCCTCTGGCGGCCTTCGTCGGCGGTTAGTCTACAACTCTTATTGCCCCCCACTCGATTCTTCTGATTCAGTCATCTAACTTCTCTCCAGCCCTCGAGGTCACCTCCCCCAAGAAGGGTGAAGATGTCGATCTTTCCAGCTCCTTCACTGTGACCTGGGATTCCGTCTCGTACGTTCCCTCCCTCTCCCTTCACCAGCCCTAAACCACGCAACATATACTCACCTTCATACAACAGCACCGACCCCACCACCTTCGACCTCTATCTGGTCAACAACGCCGTCTACCCCACCGTAGAGAAGAAGGTCGCCTCCGACGTGGAAACCTCCAAGGGCTCCTACACCGTGTCCGACCTGTCCGGCGTTACCGATGGGTATGTTCTCTCCCTACACCCTATCATTTTTTCTTTTTTCTTTTTCAAATCATATGCTAACAAGAACTACAGCTCCGGCTACCAAATCAACCTCCTCTCCACTTCCTCCACGAACAGCGGTATTCTCGCCCAGTCCGAGCAGTTCACCGTCGAGGGTGGTTCCAGCTCTAGCTCCACCACCACCGCCAGCGCCTCCATGACTACTTCCGCCTCTACTTCCTCTTCCTCTTCTGCTTCTTCCACGGGAACTTCTACTGGTACTGATACCTCCTCCACTTCCTCATCCTCCACTGGATCCAGCTCCATCACCACTACTAGCTCCAGCACTAGCTCCTCCTCCACCAGCAGCAGCACCAGCAAACTAACCACTACTACCTCGGGTGCTAACACTCTATCGACTACAGCTTCCTCCACCCGTTCTGCCTCTGCTTCGGGTACTTCTACTGCCTCTGCCAGCGGTACCGAGACCACGGCGCCGGCTTCTACGGGCGCGGGTATGGCTCTTGCTGCGCCGGTGTCTGTTGCTGCCGGTTTGGTGTTGGGTGTTGTGGCTATGCAGTTGTAAGCCAAACCAGACCAGACCAGACCCCAAGCCAGCTTTTTATTCTGTGGAATGGATGAGATGTAGTATGGTGGGGATGTGAATGATTCTGTGTGATGGAGTTTTTTTTTTTCTCTTCTACTACCCGATTGGTGAAAGCAATACTGCCAGTTGATTGCTTGTATAGATTACTTCTAGCTAAGTGTAGCTTATTACTTAATGGTCTATAGCATATATCCATTACTTTTATTTTTTCTTTTCACCGAGGAAGATCCTGGTGTTTGGTATCCGTGGTTCGGCATTCTAGTCAAAATCCCTGGAATTGTTCCGTTCCATGTGCGACCGGTTTACCATGTGCACTGCACGTTAGACAGTGAGAGAGAGACTGAAAGAGAGAGAGCCACGGCCCCGGCACCTCCAACCGAGAAAGAACAGTTAGGCAGCTAGGTAAATATTTACCAATTAAGGACATGTCCGAAGACACAGACACACACACACCATACTTGTTGGTTGTTTGACGATCCATGGATCACTCACTCGGCCCTGGACCCTTTCGGGAATGAACCCAGACCCTGTAGGGCAATCAATGGCAAATACCAACAGACCTGGCCGGTATTGGTGGAATTGAAAAATACGGGTAGGAAGTTTCGGAAGCCTGTATTAGTCTGAGTCTCTTTTTCTTTCGGCTAGACTGTTACCAGTGTCGGGCAGCACCGAATGGGTTACTGGATTGGGTAAAGAGGGTCCAGAATCTTTTTCTTCTTTTCTTTTAGCTTTCGGGTTTTGGGTTTCTCGCTCGCTTGGATGAATGGAGGGATTATTTTTGGGTGAGATTGTGTCTTACTGTGTGTGATTGTGTGTCTTGGAGTTAGTTGTAGAATAGATGGAGTAGACTAGTTTGTGTGGATACATTGATTATTACTCTGTAGTATTGTTGTATTGTCTTACTATAGTAAAACTAGTCTGGGAAATAGTTACATTGTGAATTGTATTAATATACATCGTGTCTTAGAGATATATATGGACACCATTATTTTCTCAATAATGAGTAAGTACCGGGTGGGTTAGTTATAGTGCCTGAATGCCGTAGATATCGACGTCACTAAACTTCCAATATTAGCATCATCATCATCCCCTGGATCAGTTTTAAACATCCACCCCCACGACTACCAAGAGCAATAAGTGGAATAGGGTATAGACGTACAATTCTGCCCCGACACCCTCTCGGCCATCTGCCGCACTATCCACCCAGACACTCACCCTCATACTCTGAACCGGAAACTCCCCGTACCCCATTTCATCAATCACCGTGACAGACGGGTGATCACCGCCTCGCTGCAGCAGATCCGTCCACTTCTCGCCGGCATGTTTCCGACCCACGTACATGCGCTTCGTGGCTGGTCCGCCGTTGCTCATGACGCAGGCCAGTCCGGAGGGGTGGGCGGCGTTGCCGTAGCGGATGAATCCTTCTCATTTATCAGACTATGTCGCAGACTGGATAGGGCTTGACTTACCAATACAGTTGGGCTGGTCGAAGTAGTCCTCCTGCTCACCGTAGGCGTACAGCTTGCGGGCACGCATCAGATTCGGAAGTTGGCCCTCGCAGGCGGGAGTTGGCGGGTGGTCGCCGTCGCAGGTGCCGTAGAGGTCGCCGTAGAAGACACATGGATGGCCTCCTTGGCGGAGGAGGATTAGGGCGTAGGCTAGGGGTTTGAAGGAGGGCTCGACGATGGTCTGTTGTATGTTAGCTCGTTGCTCATCCTCAGACACATGATAAAGTTAACAACTCACCTCGAGCATTTGTCCCGGTTGCTTGTGATATCATTCAGCACTCATCCATATACCTTCACTTCACAAGGGCTTTCACTCACCGTATCATGATTCGTAACGAATGTCTACACCACACACACATCAGCCTCACCACCCCCGAATTGGATCACTGGGATAAACTCACCAACGCATTCCCCGGCCTGCTCTCCACCAACGTCCCCCTCAACACTCCCCTCAAATCCGCCCTCTTCACCCTCGACAACCTCGAGAACCTCTCTACCAGCGGCACATCCACCGCCGCCACCCGATACTCCATCTCCTCCAGATACCTAAGCAGCGCCCTTAACTCCCCACTCCAATACTCCCCAATCACAAATACCTTCCTGTCCCCGGCCTCCTGCCGCACACAATCAATAAAGTCCCTCTGAAATGCCGTCGAGAAATGCTTCGCCGCATCTAACCGCATTCCGCTCAACGGCAACACAGACATAATCCACTTCCCCCAGCGCAGTACATCCTCCCGGACCTCCGGGTGTGAGAAGTCCAGGTCCGCGAACATCAGGTAGTCATAGTTGCCGTTCTCGTCTGTGCCGACGTCCTGGGCCCAGTTCTTGTCGGGGCGGGAAGGGTCGAGGATCTTGTAGATTGCTTTGCGTTGTTGGGCGTCGTCCCAGTCGACGCCGCTGAAGTGCTGCCAGTGGTATTGAAGGGGGCTGTATGTGGTGCCGCGGCCGGGGAAGGTGAAGGACGTCCAGCCGGAGATTTGTTGGGGATTACCATCTTCGATATCTCGTCCTGTGAAGCATTTGTCAATATACACACTATACATAGAAGAACGGAGAGATGGGAAAGGGGTATATACGATCATCATCAACCCTCACACCCTCGAACCTCTCCACGCTATCCGCCCCAGCCTTATGATTCAACACCGCATCCCATAATACACCTACGCCCAGAGCATTTGCATCTCGAACAAGATCCTCTAATTCTCCGCGCGTGCCCCATTTCGTTCGCACTGCTCCTTTCTGGTCGAATTCGCCTAGATCATATAAATCGTAGATATCATACCCATTTCCATTTGTGTCCATGCCCTTGCATCCAGGCGGTATCCAGATGCTGGTTACACCGAGGGAGTGGATAGCTGGTAAGGCATGCTGGAGCCGGCGCCAGTGGCTGCGCTTGTCCGCGGTGTTGGGGGTTGCGGGGACGTGCCATTCGAAGGCTTGAAATAGGAGGGTGTTTTCCGTGGGGGAGTGCCATGAGGGGAGGGATTCTATGGCGTTGGCTTTTTCTATTGGGGAGGTTGAATTTGTTACTATGATTTGAATTGAATTGACTTGGTATGGGTAGTTGGGGGTGTTTGGCTAACCCTCTATTTGCTTTTGGGATTGAGTTTGGGATTTGGTGCGTTGTCGGCGAGTTTTGAAGCAGGGGAGGAAACTGAACATTTTGCTTGTATTCTTTTTTTCTTGGGTTATGTTTGTAGGTCGTTGGTGGTTCGGGAGGTGAGGATTTTTTTACTGCGGTGCGGAGGAGGGATTAGCTAGGTTTACTGTCTGTGTCCATGTAGAATGGATGGATGATGGATGGAAGGTGAAGAGTCGAATGCAGCGACGGAGCTGGGCTGTGGTGTAAGCACGGAAGAACGTTAGAATAGCTGCTGTCTTGACACTAAGAAGAACTAGCTAGTTAGCTAGTTAACACGGTGTGCATGACTTCATTTCAATTTTCAATGGGTCCTTAAAGTGGGCCTGTCTGGCTGATGAGCGAGTATTTTTAGCTCGGGCGGTTTCCTCGGAAAGCTACCGAGGCCCAACGGATTTGCCTCCAGAGGATCAGCCAGCCATGATCGTCAACAGCTGTTGGATGCAGGTACCCGTTTGGGTTTTCTGAAGAATTTACAGGTGATCTCTATTTATATATATACTGGACTAGTAATTTGTCTTCGTTCTGTTTATTGCTTAGTGCTGAAGTGCTAGTAACTAGTGTGGAATAAAGCGAGATGCGGCTAGTATCTGCGAGTAGTAGTGGATATAGCGAAGTGAATATATACAATATACTAGGTAAGGGTATCGTTACTGCAAATACATACAAAGAACACTGAAACATGATAATATATCTCAACCCATCTGTAGCTATCAGCATATTACCACATCCCCACAATCAGACCCGCCACCACAGACAGCCCCAGAGAAAGCAAAGCACTAGAAGCTGCATCAGTCTTGATACCTAGCGACAAGGCAGCCTCCGCCGCCGCTGCACCCTGCGTCCTCAAGGCAGCATAGGTGACATTCGCGACAGGAAGTCCGCACAGCCCACTGCCGGGCATCAGATCCGCCGGGAAGAACACGCGCGGCTCTCCTTTATCCATCGGAACCACGAGTTCGCTCTGGGTGTTGACCGTGTAGTTGACGCAGTTCAGAATCTCGGTCACTACTGTGCCACCCGTGAAACTCACCGGCATCGAGAGGTTGTAAGCGCTGCTGTTCGTGCCTTGCGTGGACAGAAGCATGACCACCTGTCGACCTTCGATTCCCTTGCGGAATCCCAGTTCACTGCCACCTTCGAAGATGGGGTACGTCTCGACATCGGGGTAGTGATTGTCGAGTCGGTAGGCGTGCTTCCGGATGGCGTTCAACTTGCCGATCAACTTGTAGAGCTCGGCGTCGGTGTTGTACTCAGAGAGCCATATCGCTTCTCGGTTTTCCGGACTGCCAGGGCCGTCGAGATGCTGCTCTTGACCTTGATAGATCATGGGAACACCGTCGAAGAGAAGAGTGAATGTGAGAATATTCTTCGCGAGCTAGTAGGGACAATGTTAGCTAGGAAAGGGGTCTGTAAAGTCAAGCAGAGTTCATACAGCCATGTCATGGGTCATGCTGGCAAATCGTGCGACATCGTGGTTTTCGGAGAATGACGACAAGGCGGTCACATCATTACAGGAATTCTTCATCGACTGGACCTGAGTGGCCAGGGCGCTGGTGTTGCCCAAGGTAAAGGCCTTCAACATGGCGTAGTAGACGGGGTAATTCGGGAGACTGCCGATGTAGTTGTTCTGATAATCGCAGATTGTGCTGACCTCTTGCTGCAGCACTTCGCCGGTCATGAAGATATCAAGCGCATCGCCGAAATTCTTCAGGAAGCCGGGGTTCACATGTTTTGCGGCATCGATGCGGAGGCCGTCGATGGAATAGGTGGAGATGACTTCCTTGGCCCAGTTGCTCAGGGTTTCTTGCACCTCGGCATGCTCGGTATACAGATCGGGCAAGGCCACGATGTTGTCACCGGTTTGGCACAGCTGGGCATTGGTGAAGTTATTCCAGTCGGTGATCTTACAGTAGGGATGGTAGTAAGACGAGCTATTGAAGGGGGTCAGGGTTGAGTAGTCGATGTGGGTGGCGGGGTCGGAGCCATTGGTGATGTAGGCCATGTTGTTGATGACTGTGTCCATCATCAGATACATGTCGCGAGCATGCAGGGCATCACTCAGGTCCAGTAGATCCTGGTGGGTTCCAAAGTGCGAGTTGAGGGAGTACAGATCCACGGGCCAATAGCCGTGATAGGCTTCTCCGTACTCCACGCGACCTTCGACGTTCTCGATGATAGGGGAGATCATGACGGCATCAAAGCCCATCCCCTGGATGTAATCCAGATGGTTGATCATGCCGCGCCAGGTACCACCACAGTACAGACCCTCCGTGGTGTTGCAGGGGGAGGTGGTTGAGCCATCAGTGCGCGCGAACCGATCCGTCATGGTCTGATAGATTGACCGGGACTTCCATTGCTCGGTGCTGGCAGCCAGCGACGACCCCAGCCAGCTAGCAAGATAGAGGACCCCAAGCCCGTGCCGCAGGGCCGACATTGAGACCATGGCTACAGTCACTGGGAGATTGGAATTATCTTAATGATCAAGGGTTGCGTACATGTGCCTGCCGAGCAATTGCGGGGCCCGACTTGGAGATACGATAAGGTGACTGTCGAATGCTGGGAGATAGCCGGTTACGCTAAAAGGAAGGATACGGGCTAGGCACGAAATGAAAGAGTGAACGAAAGAAGTGGGACCAGATTGTAGAGAAAGAATGGCAATGGTCAGATCCAAAGAAAAAAATGAATGGCAAGGGAACAGCCCAGGAAGAGGGGGTCACTTCAGTGACGGATGCATTGGTCGATGTGACGAGAGCGAAAGAATGAGTGAGGAGGAAGGAAGGGAAGGGAAGGGAAAGGAGAGGAGAGGAGAGGGAGAGGAGAGAGAAGAGGGGAAGCGAGAAGAAGTGGAATGCTGGGGAAGAGCTTGACTGAACATCAGGTGCAGGTGCAAAATGCCGGTGGAGCAGCGCAGCAGCAGCAAGGGGACCTCACTAACTGCATTCAGGTCCAATCCCCTGGATGGGATGATAAACAGGTAAACTAGTCTGCTTTTTAGTTCAATTCGAGAGGGGACCAATGAGTGTGCAGTGTAGATTGGTAGAGTATAAGTCCCAGGTCACGAGGGGGGGGGAAGAAATTGCCAATCGGAGGAAAATTATAGATGGAACCATCTCCCTTATCATCATCACCACCATCAGCATCATCATCATTATCAGCCATGTGTGAAAAGCATCAGAGGCGTCCCCTGAACCCTCGAGGTCATATCTTAAAAATTTCCGGAACCCCAGGGCGAACTCCCGCGCAGGACCAGGAACCAATGATCCCTGCCGATGGTGGCACCGAGGTTCCCTCTGCAGCTCCCCCAGACTACCACTACTTAACTTACTTCCTTGGTTTTCCAGCTGGTCCTTCCCATTGGTCTTAAGATGGGACATTTCTCCTCATCTACCCCCCCTCCCCCTGCAGATGTCACCACTGGCGTCAACGGTGGCACGAGTCTTTCAGCCAGGGAATGGCTTCTGGCTTCTCCAAGACCAAGCCTGTCACGCTGCCACGAGCTGGGGCTAATGCTTCTGCCAGGCACAAAGAGCGGCAGATGAGCGAACCGGCCATTCGATGGGTCGAACTCGGGGGAAAGAGGGGGCCAGTGAGACATGTTCTTGACTAGTAGCTTAGTAGAACCATTGTGGTGTCTGCCCTACTTGGAATCTCCGGGAAGACACCGTCTTAGGCGATGTGGTGATCCAATGAAGAGGGCCAGGGACTCCACCTCCGAACCCTGACCAGGTAGAGACTAGACAACTAGTAGGTAACTAGAATTAGTTCACCAGGGGAAACATTATGGCCAGTTTGAATAATGTGAGACAGTCAGACAACGGCGGATATACTGGTCCGAGAAAGCAGAGGACGACTCCAAACCCCCAATTTTGAGACGGAGATCGCGTGGGTGGACAAAGGGGAAAAGAGGAACGAGCAGGACAAAGCGTGGCGTATTCTTGCGCCATGTTCCTTGACGGTTGACCCCGGATGCTTGGCAGCAGATAAGGAAGGGCTTGCGATATTTTTCTCCTTTTGCATAAATTGAACTGACTGGATAGACTTCATATCTAATGCAAGGCTGGAACACACAGGACAACCCGATAAGAGGAACACCCTTTTCGAAAACAAATTTGATGGGATCTTCTCAGTATTCTTTTCCCAGGCGAGCCAAGGTCCAACCGCCAGGGTCTTGGCGGCGGGCTTGGCCTGGCAGGATTGGGAAAAGCGGCATTTCCCGAATCAGCATCTGGGTAATTGAAATTACCAGCGGCCGCTGCAAGTTTCACCGTACTGACGGTACCTTACCGCCAAGTGGGGGCCAGGGAGGAAGAAAAACAAGTATGAATCTTATTATTGGAAACGGTGGTGTTGCTCGGAAATTATATAATGTTCGCTCCTGGATGATTCTGCCCTGGCTGATAATCAATGTGCAGGCGACCATTGGCCCGCGAGGGATGGAAATAAGCCAAGTGAGTAAGACATGCATGGGCCGATGCTTCGTAGTGGGTTGGCGCTGCCTGTATTGGATCAGACCTTTAGCAGAAATCAGTAGTGGTCACCACTTGGGTCCTTCATTAGTCCCCCGCGAGACTGAAAAAAGACTAGTCCCATCTATCTATCTATCTCTGTGCTGTGTGAATTGTGAAAAGAATAGCACACCGGGATGCCAAGGGTCCAACCCATGTAGCAAGACCCTCTCTCCAAGCCCAGTGTGGCTGCCCGCCTCACGGGAACCCGACCAAAGACCATCCAGATTCGAATCTGCGATCCCGTAAATCCTTCGCCCGAGACCCACTTCCGCCTGGCCAGGATGGTTTCCCAGTGGCACCAACAAATCTTTCTTCTGGCATCTTACTCAGTAGTGTCGGGTCTGTGTGCCATGGAGAGAAAAGCAGGCACCCTGCAGGGGCGAGTACTGTTAGGCAGTGGTGATGGTATGCTTAATCAATCATTCCTCGGGCTTGTTGGAAAGAAAAACAAGTGGCAAGGCCCGCGTCAGATTTTTTCTGTCTTTTATTCCATGTTATGTTTCTGTTTTGCCCTTCTCCGCTGCGAGGGAGTGTAAGAAAAAAGTGACACAGGGGCTTGGCAGTCGAACCGGGCAGACGAGCCAAAATAGCAGGCAAAGAGTGCAGGGGCCCGCTCTCGGTCGGTGACAGCTTTCTGGAAACTTTCAACCGGTCAGGATCGCTTCGGGATCAACCACGGAACCATCTCCGGGTTATGACTGGCTCATCGGTATTTTTGGTCTTTTACTTTTTCATTTCTTTGCCTTTCTTTTCTTTTTTACCAATTTTTCCCTCTTTGCAGTTGGAGGCCCGAAATCAACGCCACGGAAGTTGGCGGATTGATGATGATTGGGATAATACTGTTGGCCCCAAAAATACACACACAGACACACACATACCATATTCAGGAACAAACACACCACCAAACCCGCTGCATGCATGGGATGGCTCACCTCCCCCTTCTGCGAGTTACGGGCAGCAGATAATGTATACGTCTGATCCTTTACACCAGACGAACTAAAGTATACAAAAAAAAAAACGACTACCGGACTACCACCACCCCTATTACGGTATCACAACCATCAACTTCTCTCAAGTCGTATACTACTAGTAGACTAGTCAAATCCCGGTCCCTCCGCCACCAATCGGGAGGGTCCGTCCTTATCAGACCCAAAATTTCCTCCCAAAAAAATTGAGAGAAAACGAGCAACTTGATGACAGTAAGACATCACCTGCACTATTGTGTAGAGTGTCTTAGAAGAGGGCCAATAAAGTTTTTTCGTTACCGAGATTGGCTGCACGCCACCGTATTGCTGCCTCTTCAGGTATCGTTTCGCTTGGGCGTGAATACGATCTGGCTGATTGATTGTATTGGCCCCGAAAATACCTTTAGAAGCAGCAGCAGCAGCAGCAGAAGGGGTCTGTTGCTTTACCTCTTTCCCATGGCACGGATATAGGCGATGGGAACAATAAGGAAGTCCTCGGAGGGGCCACGAAGGGTCCAGTCTTCGGGGGGGGCTTAAAAGGGAGGGACTATATCTTAATGGGGATTGGTGAGGGCCTGGCGGTATCAAGTGGGCGGAAAGAACCCTTCTTTCAAGACATCCAGTGATCCAGTCCAACTGCCCCTTGGGCTCCACCTTAAACTGCTTTCCGGTCCGAGAGGAAACCTAACTAACGGCTCCCGAATAGCCTACTTACTATACGAGAATTGGCTCATATTTTTCCATAGGATGGCTGTCGGACCACCCAATGGTCCGCTTCCGTTATTCATATTTTTTTTTTATTCACTCTTGTCCATTCTGAATTTTCAATTTTTCATTTCATACTTATTTTTAAATTCCCCTTTTGGACTTTGCACCGCACTGCCGCGGTCTAGTCCTCTTCTGAGCAGGCAAAAAGTATTCCGTCATAGCCAAAGGGAACCGCCCCTCCCACTCGCTCTGGACAAGGCTAGAGTCCCTCCGGCGTGGCTTCGATATCTTTCTTACCCGGGGAACAATTCCTATACGAGTGAGCTGGCACCGGGAAGCCATTCAGAGTGGTTCTCCAGTCAGCTTGGGGGTTATTATTAGCAAAATACACATAGACGAGACAAGACGAGACGTCTAGTCTGCTTCTGTTTCTTTTTTTTCATTTCATCGTTTCTCCCCTCCCTCGATCCACTATCGCGGATATCGATGTTGTGCCCCCCCCAGTCCAGCCTCTCATTGCTGAGCCTCAGCATCGCTGCTAGCTAATTACCTTACTAGTTGGAGTGTGATTAGCTTTTTTCTCCATTTGGATTTCTTGCCTTTGTTCCCCATCATCTCCCCTCTGACACTTTCTCTTCCTCCTATTCCTCGTATCATCTTTCCTCTCTCTCTCTCTCTCTTTCTCTCTTCCACTTTCTCCTCTCTCGCTTGATCCCTCTTATCTCTGATCTCATGCATCGTTTCTTGTTTTAGTTGTTGTTGCATTGTGATTCCCCATAGATTTCACTCGTTAACGAAGCGTGCCTGTGTTTCTCTCGTTATCTGCACCCTATCTATCGCTCGTTATCAGTCCCATCTATCCACTCAACCGACTATCATTGAGTGACCTGCACCCCCAGCGAAGAGAGATCGCAATCAATCTGGTGACGAGTCAGAACCCATTCTTTCCCCTCCAGTCTTTGGCGAACTCCATAACCGCATCGATCTGGCTCAACGTTGTGTTCCTGGTTTGTTGACCGGTGGTCATCCCGGGTCGCCGCGACCTTCCCACCCAGCATGAAGTGGGCTATTTCCGGCACGCTGCTCGCCTGTTTCGCAACAACTGCAACGGCCTGGCCTTACGACGAGTCCCTCGTCGACTACAACTTCAATCAGAACCAGTCCGCTACGAACCCGGCGGACTATTGGGGAACATGGCCCAATCATACCGGGGACTACTTCCCCTCCCCGGACAATTGGCGCTTCCCCGTCTACACCCTCTTTCTCGACCGCTTCGTCAACGGTGACCCCACAAACGACAACATCAATGGCACCCTGTTCGAACATGACCTCCGCTCGAATCAGATGCGCCATGGTGGCGATGTTGCCGGCCTGCTGGATACCTTGGATTACTTGCAGGGCATGGGAATCAAGGTCGGTCCCTGTGGCTTGTCCGATGCTGCGATCAATTACTGACGATGGTTTAGGGTCTCTATCTTGCCGGAACAATCCTCATGAACCAGCCCTGGGGATCTGACGGTTATTCGGCTTTGGACACGACATTGTTGGATCAACACTATGGTAACCTGCAGACGTGGCGCAATGCCATCACGGAAATTCACAAGCGCGGGATGTATGTCATCTTCGATAACACCATCGCAACGTAAGTTTGCCGCTGCCTTTTCCCCTCTTTCCTACCCAACAAACTAACCTGCAATTTTTAGGATGGGTGATTTGATCGGATTTGATGGCTATCTGAACACCACCACCCCCTTCTCCGTGAAGGAACACCAAACGGTGTGGAAGACTGACCGCCGCTATGTGGACTTCGACATTGGCAATGACTACAACGAGACGTGCGACTACCCCCGCTTCTGGTTCGAGGATGGCTACCCCGTTCAAGCGTCAGTCACCGAGGAGCTTGTCGGATGTTACAACAGTGATTTCGACCAGTACGGTGATATTGAGGCCTTTGGTGTCTTCCCCGATTGGCAACGTCAGCTGGCAAAATTCGCCTCCGTTCAGGATCGACTCCGTGAATGGGTTCCCTCCGTGCGCGAGCGTTTGATCCGCCACTCCTGCATCATTATTCAGTCGCTCGATATTGACGGTTTCCGGTACGACAAGGCGACTCAGGCAACCGTCGACGCCCTCGGAGATATGTCCAATGCGTACCGCGAGTGCGCCCGCGCCGTAGGAAAAGAGAACTTCTTCATTGCGGGCGAAATCACGGGTGGTAATACCTTTGGTTCCATCTACTTGGGCCGAGGAAGACAGCCCAACCAGTTCCCTGACTCGGCGGAGGCAGCCATGAAGCTGACCAACACTTCCGACGCCCAGTATTTCCTGCGTGAAGTGGGACATGAGGCGATTGATGGTGCAGCCTTCCACTACTCCATTTACCGAGCGCTGACCCGCTTCCTGGGCATGGATGGTAACTTGGCTGCCGGTTACGATGTGCCAGTCGACTGGGTTGATGCCTGGAATCTCATGCTGCAGTCCAACGATCTGGTCAATGCGAATACAGGCAAGTTCGACCCCCGCCACATGTACGGGGCTACCAACCAGGATGTCTTCCGTTGGCCCACGGTGGAAAAGGGCGTGGAGCGTCAGTTGCTTGGATTGTACATCACGACTCTTCTGCTCCCCGGAATTCCGCTCCTTCTCTGGGGCGAGGAACAGGCGTTTTACGTACTGGATGCCACGGCATCGAACTACATCTACGGTCGGCAGGCCATGTCTCCTGCCACCGCATGGAGGGATCATGGCTGTTTCTCCTTGGAATCGTCTCAGTACTATAATTGGCCCATTGAGTCCGGCCGTCAGGGCTGCCACGACCCCACGGTGGCCTACGATCATCGTGACCCGTCTCATCCCGTGCGCAATATCATTAAGCATATGTATCAGATGCGCGAACAGTTCCCCGTCCTCAATGACGGCTATACTATTCAAAAGCTCTCGAACCACACCGAGGACGTGTACTATCTCGGTTCCAACGGCACAGCCACCGAGACCGGACTCTGGTCGATTCTTCGTGATGTGAACGCGGATGTGCAGGATTTGGGCTCCGATGCGAAGAACCAGCCTGTCTGGCTGGTTTACCACAACACGAACCGCACCATTGATTACAAGTTTGACTGCTCGGATAATGATACAGCTCTGATTGCCCCCTTCGATAGTGGCACCTGGGTCAAAAACCTGTTCCACCCGTATGACGAGCACCAGCTGATCGATTCCCCCACCAAGTTGGGATTGAACGGATCAACTGCATACAGTGGCTGCTTGGCTAATATGACCATGTCCGCCTATGAATTCCGGGCCTACGTGCCTAAAACCCGCTTTACTAAACCCAGGCCGATGATTACAAAGTTCACTCCGGGACACGATGTCCCGATCCGCTCGACCGTGGCCCCGAACGCAGACGAGAACGTGGAGGTCGAAATTTACTTCTCCGAAGAAATGGATTGCGACTCGGTGACAAAGTCCATTACCCTTTCGTCATCGACCGAAATTGGAAAGGCCCCCTCTGTCGATTCTGGCAGTGTCAACTGCAAGTCAGTCCCCGCCACTAACACCAGCTGGACCGGCCAGATTCCCGGGGTGTGGATGTGGGCGGCCAACCTGACAGGTGTGTACAACGGCATTCATCGTCTCACAGTCAACAATGTCAGCACAGAGAGTGGGAACGCAACCACCAACGCCGTCGACCATTTCCTCTTCCGCATCGGCCAGATTGATAATCCGATGATTTTCAGCAGTGCGAACTATTCAACTAGTTTGCTCCATAAGGAATCCAACGGCACCCTTTTCATCCAGCACCACGCCGCGGGTGCTGATAAGTATCGCTATTCTACGAATTGGGGTACCACTTTCTCCGATTGGATTGACTACAGGGGCGGAAATGACACTATTGAGGAACTCGAATGGTCGGGAACCAAGAAGCAGTCATGGAAAGGAAACCACGTTCGCGTGGAGTATTGGAGTCGTTGGACCGGCAGCAGCGATTACGTCCAAGAGGGAGACGCGGGCTGGAACGAGAATGTTCCACGCCGTTTCCCTCACGTCTTCTTCAACGGACCCTACAACCAGTATGGGTATGATGCAGGTCTGGACAACGTGGTCCGCCAGGACAGCGTTGACGGTCTCTGGAAATATCATTTCACCGCGGAATGGCCTGCTCAAGCTCAATTGAACATTTGGGGTATGAACCCTGATGGGGAGCCTGACCAGAGTTGGGTCCTGGGAGATGCCGATAATGATTCGGTTCTCGATCGCATGCCGCCCTCTTCGCTGTCCGCGACATTGATTAACATCACTGAACACCCCCCCTCTCCCTACATTTCGTGGAATATCTTCATTGATGACGGGACCATGCGCTTCCAGCTGTTCCCCGTCGGGCATCAGAATACTCAGATCGCCATGTATGTGCTCTTTTGGATCATCCCCGTCATCACGGGCGCAGCCGGTGTGTGGGCTTTCATGAAGTCTTTCTACAAGGTCAAATTCAACCAGGTTGGTGTGAGCGAAAAACACCAGATGATCCCATTGGCCTTGCGGCGGAAGTTCAAGCGCAATCGCAATCGTGGCGGTGATGAGGAAAACTCAAACCCTCTCATGCGTCTGGCGAACAAGTCCGGGTTCCTCCAGACTGACACGGCGATTGGTGGTGCTGCTAGCGGCAAGCGTCGCATGGTCCTGATCGCCACCATGGAGTACGACATTGAGGATTGGGCCATCAAGATCAAGATTGGTGGTCTTGGTGTCATGGCGCAACTCATGGGTAAGACTCTGGGTCATCAAGACTTGATCTGGGTGGTGCCTTGCGTTGGGGGTGTCGATTACCCCGTGGACAAACCCGCAGAGCCCATGCATGTCACCATTCTTGGCAATTCGTACGAGGTCCAGGTCCAGTATCACGTCTTGAATAACATCACCTATGTTCTGCTGGATGCCCCTGTGTTCCGTCAACAGTCTAAGTCAGAGCCTTACCCGGCTCGCATGGACGACCTGAACAGCGCCATTTACTACTCGGCCTGGAATCAGTGCATTGCGGAAGCCTGCAAGAGATTCCCTATCGACCTGTATCATATCAACGACTACCATGGTTCCCTGGCTCCACTGTATCTACTTCCTGACACAGTACCTGCCTGTCTTTCCCTGCATAACGCCGAGTTCCAAGGTTTGTGGCCCATGCGGACGCAGAAAGAAAAGGAGGAAGTTTGCTCCGTGTTCAATCTGGATATCGAGACCGTGAGGCATTACGTGCAGTTTGGAGAGGTGTTCAACTTGCTCCACTCGGGTGCTAGTTATCTCCGTGTTCACCAACAAGGTTTCGGTGCTGTTGGTGTGTCTAAGAAGTACGGAAAGCGGTCCTACGCGCGTTACCCCATTTTCTGGGGTCTCCGCAAGGTTGGAAACCTACCTAACCCTGATCCGTCTGATGTCGGTGAGTGGAGCAAGGAACAGGCCAGCGCCATGGGTGACAATGTGAGCGTGGACCCGACTTATGAAGCCGGTCGAGGCGACCTCAAGCGTCAAGCTCAGGAGTGGGCCGGTCTTGAACAGAACCCTGACGCCGATTTGCTTGTCTTCGTTGGTCGTTGGTCGATGCAGAAGGGTGTTGATTTGATCGCCGACGTCATGCCTGCTGTCCTGGAAGCACGCCCCAATGTTCAGCTCATTTGTGTTGGACCAGTTATCGATCTCTACGGTAAATTCGCGGCCCTCAAACTCGATCACATGATGAAGGTCTACCCCGGACGAGTGTTCTCTAGACCTGAGTTCACGGCATTGCCCCCCTACATCTTCTCTGGTGCTGAATTCGCGCTGATTCCCTCTCGTGACGAGCCCTTCGGTCTGGTCGCCGTCGAGTTCGGACGTAAGGGAGCTCTGGGTATCGGTGCCCGGGTTGGTGGTCTCGGTCAGATGCCAGGTTGGTGGTACAATGTGGAATCGACAGCTACCTCCCATTTGCTCGTTCAGTTCAAGCTGGCTATCGACGCGGCTCTCAGTTCGAAAACGGAAACTCGTGCTATGATGCGTGCCCGGTCCGCCAAACAGCGCTTCCCGGTCGCCCAGTGGGTGGAAGACTTGGAGATCCTGCAAACCACCGCCATCCAAGTGCACAACAAGGAATTGGTTAAACATAACGGTCGACCCTTCACCCCGTCTGGAACTACCACGCCGGGTGGCATCTTAAGCCAGCCGTCAAGTCCACTAATGCCCCCTGGAATGCAGACTCCCTTGGCTCATTCTCGGGAAAGCAGCTATTCTAACCTGAACCGTCTCAGTGAATATGTCACAGATCCGAAAACAAACTACAGTCGAGACATCAGCCCCAGTGGGACGGAAAAGCCGCGGTCCGGCCTGCAACGACAGCTTTCTCTTGGTGTTCGCTCAGGACCTGGTCATCAAGAGCGCCGTGGCCGTCGTGGACGCCAGCGCGACAGCATCCCCGAACACGAAGACACCGCAGGGGCCATGACCGACGTCGAAGAAGACCACGAGGACATTGGGGATCAGCAGGATGCGGACGACGAGTACACTCTCACCCCGGCTCAGGTCGAGGAAGGACGTCGCTTGCAGGCTGTCCAGCAGCAGGGAGTGGGTATGCCGACGAGTCCGGGCGTCCGCCGTTATAGTCAAGACTCCTTGCATCCGCGACAGCTTCCTAGCAGCCCTGGCCCCGTCCCACCTCCTACACAGAGCCTCCTTCCGCCACCCAGGCTTGGGGATGCCGGTAGCCGACTCAGTAGCGCGTCTGTCCTGTCCCTGGATTCGGTCGTTGGTACCAAGACGGACTTCAAGCTCCAGAAGGTTGACCCCTTCTTTACGGATTCTACTGGCGAGTACTACAAGGCATTCGACAAGAGGCTGGTCGGCTTGAACGGCTCGAACTCCGAATCCCAGCTTTGCATTGAGGAATATCTCATCAAGAGTGAGAAGGAATGGTTCGACAAGTTCCGCGATGCCCGACTGGGTCGTCTAAAATCCCCCGCGTCGTCTGTCTTCCGGGACAAGCATGGTGCCTCCCCTGTTGGCTCCTACTACGATGATACGGGCTCCCGGGTGAGTGGTGACTATGACCGGGAGTCCCGCGACACGGAAGATGACGAGTTCCTCCTGGGCAAGGACTACGTGCCTCCGACGGGTCTGCGCAAGTGGATGCAGATTCGTGTTGGAGACTGGCCAGTCTACTCGTTATTCCTTGCCTTGGGTCAGATCATTGCAGCCAACTCTTATCAGGTGACCTTGCTTACCGGTGAGGTTGGTGAGACGGCCGAGAAGCTCTATGGTATCGCAACCACCTACCTGATCACCTCGATCCTTTGGTGGCTTGTGTTCCGTTACTTCAAATCGGTGGTGTGCCTCTCGGCTCCCTGGTTCTTCTATGGCCTTGCCTTCCTTCTGATCGGCTCCGCTCACTTTGAACCCAATTCATTCAACCGGGGTTGGATCCAGAACATCGGAAGTGGATGTTACGCCGCTGCCTCGTCTAGCGGTTCCATCTTCTTCGCCTTGAACTTTGGTGACGAAGGTGGTGCGCCGGTCGAAACCTGGATCTTCCGGGCTTGTCTCATTCAGGGTATCCAGTCGGCTTATATCATCGGACTGTGGTATTGGGGTTCCACTCTGACCAAGGCATCCAGCCAGGGTCTGTTGACCTCGACGAACAACATCGCCAATAGCTGGAAGATGACGTGAGTACATTGAACCCTCTGATTGTTCATCAATCAGCCAGTCATTCCATCTTGTGACCCGCTAACACTGATCTCCTCTAGTGCCATCTGTTACCCGATTGCAATCTTCCTCTGGGCTGTTGGATTGCTGCTTCTCTTTGGACTTCCTAACTACTATCGCCAAACCCCGGGCAAAGTGGCCTCCTTTTACAAGTCCGTATTCCGCCGCAAGATCGTCCTCTGGAACTTCGTTGCCGTCATCCTGCAAAACTTCTTCCTCAGCGCACCGTACGGCCGCAACTGGGGCTGTAAGTCTAACTTTCCCTGCCACATCGTGTCGAATTGATAAGCTAACTCTAGTCCGCAGTCCTTTGGTCTTCCAATCACGCCAAGGCCTGGCAAATCGTTATTCTCTGTATCGTCTTCTACGGGTTCGTCTGGGCGGGCTTCCTGTTCGTCGTCAGCCGCTATTTCAAGTCCCACAGCTGGTTCCTGCCCGTGTTTGCGTGCGGACTTGGAGCACCTCGCTTCATTCAAATCTGGTGGGGTGTCTCGGGCATCGGTTACTTCCTTCCCTGGGTCTCCGGAGGCTATCTCGGCGGAGCTTTGGCCTCGAGGAGTCTCTGGCTCTGGCTGGGCGTGTTGGATTCCATCCAGGGTCTCGGGTTCGGTATCATCCTCCTGCAGACCCTCACCCGCATGCACATGCTGTTCACCCTGATCTGCTCGCAGGTGCTTGGTTCCATTGCCACCATCTGTGCGCGGGCGTTTGCCCCGAATAACGTCGGGCCCGGCCCTGTGTCGCCGGACCCTACCTTTGGAGGAAGTGCAGTGGCCAATGCGTGGTTCTGGGTGGCCCTGTTTTGTCAGCTGTTGGTGTGTGCTGGCTTCCTCCTCTTCTTCCGGAAAGAGCAGCTTTCCAAACCTTGAACGCCTTAATGATGTGGTGGTGCGCTTGGGCACCACCGGGCATGAACATTTAACATACGTCCCACCATTCCTTCCTTCCTTCCCTCCCTACCTACGCCCCTTGGATATAATTTTACTGTCTGTCATAATATAATCTCTCCTGTATGTATATAGAAGTTCGCATTACGATCTGAATGATGTCCAGGTCGTTCTCAGCCAATACAATTTTGGGATTGGAAAAAATCCCTGCAGATTCATCTGCTGTCAATATCTTCCACCGCGTGATAGTGTTCAAAAGGTTTCAATGTAGATGGTATATTGTCTAAAGAGTACTTGAGAGATAGGCTGTAGTCGATCACCTGGGTTGGGTGCAGATTAGTGAGGACGGCTATGCCTGCGATAACCCAGTACGTACTCGATTGCTGCCTCAGGTCCCAATACTTACCCAGGGAACACCAAAATACAATAAATACTTTGTAACAGAATTATAATAATAACCTTCAATAAGTATGAAATAATAATAATCGAAAAGGGAATAAGAGATTAGTCAAAAAGAAAAGGAAAAAAAAAAAAAAAAGGAAACCAAAATCCGAAAGGCAATCCCGAAGCAACTCCCGCTTCGGCCGGAACTATCCCTGATCGGGACAACCGGGGGCTCCACCGCGGTCCTTCCGGGCGAGGCAGACGAACTAATAATATTGAGAATGCGGGAGGGAGTGGGAAGTTAGAGAGCGAGAGACACTCTGGAACAGGAGTTCCCCCCTCCCTCTCTTCTCTCTTCTCTCTCTTCTTCTCTTCATCTTCTTACTTCCGTCTACTTTCTTCCTCACTGCTACTATTGATTCCTTGACTCCACACCTAACACTGCTGTCCCCATCACACACATACATACATACACTGCTTTTCTTCATTAACTCTATTGATCATCTACGATGAGGCATCTTGCTACTTGATGAGCTCATCGCTCTTACCATGATGGAAGAAATGGAAGTTGAAAGATGAAAATGCATCGACATTGGCTGACACTCGCGGTTCGCTGAATACAATAACAAGAACGAAACAACAGATGGACTGAACCCGACCCGAACCCCAATCTGAAACGAAACTCCTTCCCTTCTTCCTCCTAAACATCCGTCTTGAACGATGTGAGCCGCGCCTTGATTGCCTCCTCCGACTCGTCGGTATCCAACTCCCGAAGAACACCGCTTCCAACATCATAAATCAACCCGTGAACCTGCAACCCACGCTCCTGGATCGCTTCCAACACCACGCTCTTCTCCTTCAACAGCTTGACACCCTCCAAGACATTCAGCTCGACCAGCTTGAGGTTCGCCTGGTCAGCCGGCAGCGAGTTCAGCAGATCCAGGTTCTTCGCCCGGAGCTGGCGCAGGGGAAGCAACCAGGGGTCCAGGATTCCCAACTGCTTGTTACCCAGGGCAGCAGCAACACCGCCGCAGCTGGTGTGACCGCAGAGGACTACATGGTTGACGCGCAGGTAACGGACCGCGTACTCGATCACGGCAGACGAGCTGAGGTCGCCCGCGTGCAGGACGTTGGCAATGTTGCGGTGGACGAAGACATCGCCCGGCTTAAGACCAAGGAGAGTGGTTTCGGGGCATCGGGAATCGGAGCAGCCGATCCAGAGAATCTCGGGCTGCTGGCCGTTCGCGAGCGTGGGGAACAGTGAGGGGTCTTCCTTGGAGATCTGGGCTGCCCAGTCTTTGTTCTGGTGCAGAGCGGAGGTGAAACGGTCTGAGTCTGTATTAGCACACGCTGGTGGCTTGGTGGTGGAAAAGCAGGCGGCTTGTCGTGGTGGAAAAAAGGAGACACGCTGGGAGGGAAGAGGAAGGCTGGCTCGAGAACTTGGCTGCGCCCCCGACCGGGGAGAGGTATATATTCCGACCCTGGAATACATCCGCTGCAGTCGCGAAACAAGCCTTGTGGACTCCATGATGGTGTGAAGAGGGTATGAAGACAACAGAATTGACGGAAAATGCAGCACCACGAGGATGAGTCACTGCCAGGGGAACCCCGAAAAGGAACGGAAACCACAAATGAAAGCGCAAGGATATCAATACGTTTTGCAAATTCGCATACGATGAAGCAAGCACAGTGATACAGAAACGGGGGCAAAACGACACGCTGAGGGTTCGGTGGCAGGGAAGTTGAGGGAAAAGATGAGGAAAAGGTAAAATCTGTGGGCCGCCGCCGCTTTGCAAGTCTATCCAGAAACGCCAAGAATGGATGGTTCTGTTCTGCTGGTGCTGATGCTCACGTACCTGTAGCAGTGGGCGCCATGATAGCTGATGTTCAAGTGAGATATCGCAGTGTGCTTGTCGGACAGTCTGTTGGATTCAAGATACTGAGTATTTTGTGTTGGCTACGAGGCTCCCCTTTCTTTCTTTGCCCCCCGCCGGCAATTCCTTGGGGATTCTCGTCGGCAATGTTCACCCCCAACCATGCAAACAGTGCAAACACCCCAACTCACCGGACACCCAAAGGCGCCATCGGTCACATTTTGGTCGAATTGGACCTCTAGAGAATAGGCAGATCAGCAGCTAGGGGAGCTGCATATACTACATTGCTAACCAATTTGCTCCGATCAGGGTGCTTCCAGGGAGGCTACTATACGAGTTGGTGGTGGCCTTCCCTTCGGCCGTGCAGGCACCCGCCTCCCTTGTTGAGACACTCGGCAATCCCCGGCGTCACGTGTGGATGGGTGGCCCGCTTTTTGCCGTGCTGAGCCCCAACATTCTAGACAGGGTCGACAGAACCAGTCTCCGAGGAGAAACCGACTGAGCAGAGATCACGGTAATATGGTCAAGGCATGACCAGATACGAGGGGGGTTGCACGGCTGTAATCTTCAATCGAGGGGTATCTATAGTAGTCTGTAAAGTCACGGGGAGGTTCGTAGGCCGCCATTCCTTATGCACCAGCTGCATCAATTTTCTGTCCATCCTGGGAGTGTGCACTGAGACATGCACCACCAGTATGGGGTAGGCTGTCCAAGTTATGTTCCACTGGTCGGGGTTCTGGGCGGGGGTTGCTCATACGCCGACAGGAACCACACTGGTAGGTGTATCTAAAGGATTGACCTCTACAAACCCATACTCTATTCTAATGGTTGACACAACCAACCTGTTTCGTAAAACCTAGGCAATGTGCCAATCTTCAACGTAAGCTGAAATGGCAGCCTCACATAACCAAAGGATCCAAATCCGACCAGTTATTCATCGGATAAGGAGATAACGGATCAAGCGCGAAACACCAGTCGAAATCGAGATGCCTCTACATTCAAAGAGATAGTCAGAATCGAGGCACATCAAAACCAGGAGCTCCTGGATGCAAACACGTACCAAATCACCACCCACAGCCTCGTCCCAACCCATAGGCCGCAGAGCATTTGTATGATGACACGCATCTCCAACGGATTCTGTCTCCGAACCCTGCATTTGCGATGAATATGCCTGCTTATACTTAGCCAGTATATCCAGAATAACACCACCCGAAGACCGTGAATAAAACCTACTAGATGCTGTATTATCCAACCACTCTCTCCTTCTTGAATATGTTCATCCTGATATTGATACCCCTCCAATAACACCTCCCTACACCTCCGCGACGCAATCGGACAAGCATCATCAACCCTCAACACATCCCTTACTCCACCCCCATCCATCTGAACCCCCTCCATCTCACTCCTAACCACCATAAACAGAATCATCAAGATACTAAACATCTTCGTCGCTCTCTTCTCCACCCGCACCTTTCCCTCGAAATACCTAATCGCATTATCCACGCCCTCGAACAGTGCCATCCGTTGATAATGGACACTTTGGTCCATGTATTTCGAGATATTACTACCCGGTAAGGGAGGATCGATTACGCGGTCCTGGGATTTGGTTTGTAGGCGCAGCTCGAAGCAAATGGTTGCCGCGGCGTGGAAGATGTCGTCCCGGAATAGGCCGCCTTTGAGGTGGAGGATGTGTGGGGGAGTATGGTTGTTATTTACAGCTGGTGGTGGTGATGGGTGGTTGTTGTTGGGGCAGTGGTTTGAGAAGTGTTCTAGCTGAGAAAGTAGAGCTAGGCTGGTCTGTATGCATACTCGTCTGGAATAATTGAAGGGTTCGTCGGGGGTTTCTGAGAAGCGCAGGAAGAAGGGTCGGTGCAGAGCGAGGAGGCTGCGGTAGTGCAGGAAGAGGAAGAATGAGCGGCGGAAGGGTGAGGTGCTGCTATTGTTGTCGGGTGAACCACCTGCGGTGGTTGTTGTGCCGGTGTCGTCGCGGAGATCTGGCGGGGCCTGCGCCAGTCCTGTTGTGAGGCGTTCGCTGAGGGTCATGATTTCATTATCGTATGTTGCGCTCAGACGTACCCGGTTGACGATCTTGGATATTGCCATTCGGGTTTCCAAGGTCCGCGCGAGAGCAATCTGGAAGGACGTTCTGGTTAAGGTATCAGATCGTCTTGGGGGAGGTAGGCGCGGTGACTCGATGGTAAAGTCCTCGTCGTCGATATCAGATGGCAAGGGACAGTCGAATTCGTCCCATGATATTGCCAATGGTATCCCGCTATATAGGGAGGCTTGGAGCTCCAGCTCGATGATCGTCAGCCAGAGGCGTTTTCGCAGTTCGGCCCAATACGGGGAGACGTTGGGGAAGTTGCATGGGTTCCGATGAAGGCCCATTAGCATCGCTTCGCGGAGTAGTGAGCCGGAGGCCATGCTGACTAGGTCGCCCTCTTGGGCGGTTGCTTGCTGTGCGAGCAGTAATAGGCATTTGATCTGGATCACGTCTGAATTCATTTGGGCGTGGCTTGTCATGGATGCTAGCCATGTGGTGACTGCTTCGATCCATTTCTGGCACCTCTGTATCAATGAATGCGGGTTGAAGCCGGCAGATGTTAGTGGTTCGGCCTTATTGGTAGCGAAGCAGCTGGCACATGCCATTAACATGAGGAGTTTCGCGATCAATACGTCGGTCTTGTTGCTGTTGAGAGATCCGTCAATGTGGGATGCGCTACGATCCCAGAAGGCGTCCCATTCGCTGGTAAATGATGGGACGTGTAATATGCGCAGTGTGGTCTCGAAGGTTGAGAAGTACAGCTGCATCAAGTACTCAGCTAGAGGACGATCGGGCAACAATTCAACTAGCTTGAGTTTTGAGGAGGGTACTTGACCCCCCTGCCGTCGTCTATCAGGTCCCCTTAGATCGTGCTTGAGTCGTCTCAGGGTCAGATAATCCGTAAAACCTGGGTTGGTGGGAGTTTGCTTGTTTCGATAGTACTCATGCAAATGGGCGCTGAAATCGGGGAACTTCAGTTGACTCGTTAGCTAGATGATCAATCGATCAAAGAAAGAAATAGCTTGATCCTTACCATTCCAAGGGTAGTCGCCCAGTGACTCCGTCCAAAGAACCGGGTTCTTTGCTGCTTGCCTCGAAATGACAACGGGGACAGATTTTGAAAAAAGCTACCATCCCCTGACGAGGACGAGATCTGCCCCGCGTCACGATGAAACTGTACCTGAGAATACCGAGGGCCAGTTCTTCCCTGTGTCGAACCCACCGCACTCAACGGCGACGATCGAAAGATAGATCTTCTCACAGCAGCATCTCCAATATTGTCCGTACTCCCATCCGTGACAGTAGACGGCGGTGTATGCAGCGAAGGCCCAGCAGGTGAATGCCGGCCGGCACCCTCATGTAGCACATCTTCTCTTATGTTTCTAGACCTCTTAGGAGTCCTGGATATCGTTCCCGAGGAAGATCGCGACGGAGAAGAAGTAGCTGGAGGGTAGAAGCATGCATCTTGGGTATTTGCGCGCACACACTGAGCGCAAGGTTTTAAGCGATCGCATTTAACTTTGCGTTCGCGACACGGCGTACATGAGAGGACTTTCCTGTGTCTTCGAGTGGGGACGGGCCTTCTTTGGGGATTTACTCTCATGATACTTCGCTTGGTTGCATTTAACTGGTCCGGCTGCGCGGGAGCCATGACGTGGGGCGAGAGTGGATGGCTGGAGGACCCGCTAGTCGGAGGTGGACATATGTGGTAATATGAGGATCCGAGAATCTCGGATATGAACTAAATGGAGGAGAAAGGGAAATGAAAGGAGATTCTGGTGGTTCAAGTGGGAGAACAGAGAGTAGTGTTGATGATGTCCTTCGGTGTTAAAGCATCTCCCGTTTAGGAAACCTACAAGTCCGGCCCGGCGTCTTACCGCTTTTGGTAATCATTTGTCCGTCGGCCAATCTGGTTTCCCAAAGAGGTAAACCAGATATGGGAGGTGAGCCTATACTGGAATCAATTGGGCAGGGTTTTGGCTGTATGGAAACCATGTACCAATTCTATACAGCACTCTGAATCTGGTACTACTGTCTACTTACAACAAGCGCTGGTCGACTCAACCGCCGAAAGACGACAGAAACACGAAGCATTGATGGGAACATCCGCCGAAGCCAGCGCAACGTCGCGTTGAGCACGGATATACCGGGCCTTGTCGTGCAACCCTTGCCGGACCAGACACTCATACAAGCCATGCAAACTCCAGACATTATTCAGTCTTGCCTTCCGACGTGGGAGGGTCTCACTCAATCCCAGATCTTCTTCATACACATGCTGTGCTTCGCTAACATGACCCTGTTCAAGAAGCAAAGCCCCCAGGGCATGTCGCGCAGGCTGCATCCACGGCGGAGGATCCGCATAGACCAGGTTATCCTCCAGCTTTGTCGCTTGTCTCAAGTGATTGAAAGCCTCCTCAAAGTTGCCCTGGCGATACTCGATCTCTCCTTTCAGCATAGCCGACCCGATCTCAAGGACGTCCACCTCGCGAACGGGCAGACTGTTCAAGCGAGATGGTGGAACCTTTTCGCGGGCAGCCTCAAATTTCTTCCTTTCTTCTTGGGCCTCGTCCACTCGATTAAGTACCGCCAAAGCAATGCCGCGGGCATAGTATATCATCGCTGTCGTAGAGGCGAATAGCTCCTTGTCCTCGGGGAGCTGTAAATCGAGAATATCATCCCACCGTCCAAAGCGGATCAACACATGGGCTATGGCACCCAGAAACCCTTCTGCCCAATTGGCGATCGGGGGGCTGGTTATAGACAAGAGCTCGGGGGTGAGGATCTCCTGAAGGCGCTTCATACCGGAGATCGCCTCTGCAAAGTTTCCGGAGATGACTGCGCCATAGACTTTCACGTAGATGTTGTGCGCTCGGTACATAATATATAAGATGGTGCCCGGCTCCCTGGCAAAGTATTTGTCGTCGACAATCATGGCTTGGTTGTTCGAATCAATGACCGCTCGGTAGTCACCACAAGCGACGTAAATATGGCTAGGCATATGCAGCATATGCGAACCATCCGGCACGAGTCGCAGAAGGCGATCCGCAGCTGGTAAAGCAATCTCCGGATACGGCGCCATCTCCATGAGATGGATATAGAGATGGCAGTATGCCGGATTGCTACTGCCCCCAGGAAGGGAGGTCATGGCCTTCTCAAGAACCCGACGAGCCTCAGTGGTATGCGGACCACAGGGTTCACCTGTGTCAAGATTCCACAGAGCCCGTGGGGATATGCACATGAGCGCCTCGACAAAAAGAGCCACAATATCAGGGTCCTCCGGATAAGCTTCGTAGACAGGTCGCATGGCTTCTGCATAGGCACGATCCAACGCATGAAGATCCAGGTTTTCTGGCTTCGTTTCATCATCATCTTTGGGAAATCGAGCCTTCAAGGCCTCAATTACAGCCCTTTCGGCCGGACTTGCCCCCTGTGCTGCCAGGGCCTGGGCGCGTTGGAGCACGGGTCTCATTTCCGTAATAGTGGTGGCCAGATCCGCTAGGTCGAAACGAATCCAGGCCTTGTTGTAGTTTGGTCCCGGGCATAGGCCAGGCCCCAGTACGCCATGGCACAATTCTCATCGGCCTTGCTGGCTTTGATGAAACAACGGGACGCTTCTTCGTGATTGAAGGAGTATGACCAGACAAGTCCGCGGTTAAACCATAGCTGGGCGTCGGGGGAGTTGGTCGTTACGGTTCGGCTGTACGAGCCTAGGTTGAAGTAATCGTCCGTCATGATAGTGGTGGAATGATATGATGATATGAATTTCTCATCTAAAGCGAAAAGAACGAGATAAATCTAGGTTGAATCAGGATGTTATTGAGCTGATAAGCATAAGATGTGCCAGTTGGTTTTCCGGGCGGGGTCGGCCTTATTATAGTTTCTGTCGTGCTACTCCTCGTACTAATCAGGCTGCAGGGTGTGACCAGGGTCTACCTGGCTGCATGTACCACTACTACTGACCCAATATTGATGGCAGTAGCATGAGGATTCACCAAGCCGAACGGCAGTATCCGCAAGCCACCAGGCGAAGGAGTAATAGAATCCATATGATCAGACATATTGATCCACCAAAGTGTGGGGAGGGCATTCATCGGCACTGGACCGGTGATAAGATGCTACCGTAGCAGGCAAGTCTTATATCCGAGTGCTCAGTTGAGTGTCTCACAAATAATAAGCTACTCGATACTAATTGTTAAACGACTTGAATGCCGGTGGAGCTGCTCTTCTTTCAATCCCGGAGATAAGCGGGAGACAACTTAATCAGGAATGCGTCTTTTTCGCGTGAAAAATAGAACTTCAAATACAAGATGAGAAGAGCCACTCCTACCACAGAGACTTCACCAGATTGTGACCTTCTTCCACCATGACTCTCAAAACGATTCATAGAACGAGTTCGATCCTTCGAATAAATCCTCCCACTCGCCTCTTCTCCATCCTCTCCCCAGCACAAGCCTGCCGATCCACCCAGACCCCAAGCTGTCACAAACCAACCTCAGACACCGGAAATACTACATCATGTTCAACAACCACAGGACCACCACAGTCCCAAAATCATCTCACCTTCAAGTTCTGGACGACCAAGTCTGCCTGGAAGCGCGCCAGCATCAACACCCTCCGCTGCCTCGTCGGCTGCACACTGGGTGATTTCTCCGCTTTATGGATCCTCCAAACCTACTATCCCCATCTAGGAATGGGCCTCATAATGGGTGCCTCAAGTACGTTCTCAAATCTCCTTCTACAACTCAACCCTTCAGAACGTCTTTTTGACCAAGAGCACAGTGGCCTCAGGAATAACCACCTCCATCATCCTTGAGACCGTCCTTCTCCGCCGAGGCGCGGACCAACTCTCTTGGCCAGCGGCTGCCCGCACCGCCATGGGAATGAGCATGGTGTCGATGCTGGCCATGGAGACGGCGGAGAATCTGGTCGATTATCATCTCACGGGAGGAATGGTGAATATCGCTGACCCAATGTTTTGGACTGCTGCGGCTACGTCCATGGCGGCGGGTTATTTGGCGCCGTTGCCGTATAATTATTTTCGGCTGAGGAAGTTTGGGAAGGCTTGTCATTGATGGATCAGTGTTTTGATGTAGTAGTCGATATGTAATTATATTTTCTGCGCTTGTATGTACGTCTATGTCCTAGTAATCGGCGATCAAATGATAGTAGTATCGCATGAATAAATCTCGGCTTTCTGCATCTAGCTGGTTCTGTGGAGGATGGCCTCGTACACAAGTCCCTTGTTATAGGACCGTGGATAAACCGCGAAGGAGTTACAAACAGTATTATGTTTTCTGGGATTGGCCTATTATAGTAACACTTTTTTGCTAGCTACGGAGTATACGAATTAACTGTATGTTAGTTTAGGCAAAACACAAAGGTGGCTTTGCGCCCCTGCACGTGGGTCAAGTACGCATCGAGCTCATGATCTTCGTCAATTACAAACGGGATCTCATTGCCCTTCTCATCGCGGTCCATCCCCTCGATCTTCGTGACCACCGCGTCCGGGTACTTCTCGCCGACAATCTGCTGCAGCTCAGCCACCGACCGCGCCGTCAGCTTCTCCACCCAGGTCTTCGAGTCGCCGTGCAGCGGACTCTGCGGATGGATACGAAGGTAGACAGGTACATGCACCACGGAGGGCCCCAGCATCGGGTCCACATAGCCAAACGCAGCTGCGGAATCCGAAGGGCCCGTCGCGAAGGAAGGGTCATTGGCAGCTTGCAGCAGGGAGGGATCGATTTGCATGTCACTGAGATCACTTGGGGCACTCGCCAGCGCCTGCGAGGCGAGTGTACTGATTCCGTTGGCAATGCCACTCCCGTAGCTGCTGCTGACTGGAGGACTCTCGGGTTCTGATTGAGCCGGGGCGTGAGGGACGGATGGTTTGCGGGCGGGATCCCGCTTGGTCTGGTCATCCCGGAGCCGCTTCATGACGTCGCGGCACAGCACCTCCAGGGCCTTCACTTTCGCCGCATGCTCCGGGTCTGCGGGGCCGGGCGCAAGAATCTGACGAAGGAGCTCCGAATTTTGGATCCATTGGTCCTTTAATTCCTTCCAATGTTCGTCGCCAGCCTCCAGCTTGCTCGTGAAATGGTCCGCCTTCAGGGTGTTGTAAAACGCATTTCGTATCTGGCGGCTCTCCTCCGGGTTGATCCCGAGGACATTCTTGGCCTCGGCAATGGTCATTCGCCGTTCCAAAGTCCTCATCCTTTTCGTCACATCGGTGCATAGCACATCTAGGGCGAGTGTTTTAGCTTCTAGCTGGTTGGGATCGTGCCAGAACACCTGCTGGAGATGCGGTGATCCCTCGATCAGTTTGTTCTTGGCGTCCTGCCATCTCTCGGGTCCCGCAACGGTCTTCTTGATGAAGCCTGCTTCTTCACAGATCCGTTGGAACTGATCCCGGACCTGGCGATACATCGCATTGTCCAGCCCGAGATACTTTTTGCTCTCATCAATGGTCGTCTCGGAGGGGAAGCGCGGAGGTCCCGGCGGGTCAGCCGGCAGCCCTGCCCATCCACGAGTCCGCCGGCGACGCTTCCTGCTCGCCCAACGCTCTTCGCTTTCCGCTTTGAGCCGCTCGAGGCGCTCCTTGCGCTTGGCAAGGACTTCGGGAGGCAGATTGGGCGAGGTAGGGTCGTCTGTTGTGGGGGTGGGGAGGTTCTCGGTCTCGTCGAAGGGCGGTCCTTCGGTTTTGTATACTTCCTGCTGGAGAGCAAGGAGCCCTTCATCCTCGGGCAGCTGGATTGGGGTCTGAATGCGCGATTGCGACTTCATCCCGTTAGGGACCCGAAGTAGCCAGCGGTTCTTGGCCCGCACCCGCATCAGCTCCCGCTCCTTGATCTCGAAGCCCTCCTCATTCAGTATGCGAAGCATATCCCGCTGGCTTGTATTCTTCTCCCATAGCTGCTTTACTCGTGCTACCAGCTTGGCGTTTTTATGTGCAGGATTCTGTTTCGAAGGGAAGCCCCACCGTTTGAATTGAGTCTGAAAGGCACGTTTACTATGAAATCGCGAGGTTAGACAAAATAGCAGACGAGAAGGAATAGATTTGGGATGTTTGGGATTAGAAGTATGAACAGGAGCACACAATGCGTGTCGTGTCAGAGATGGCGCGTGCGTAAAGTCACTCACCTTGGAGCGAACTGGTAGACATTCTTCATATACTCCATAATCTCCTCCAGGGCCTTCTTATCCTTGATATACATCTGATAGCAGATTTCCCGCTTGCCATCCCAGTCGTAAACCATGGTGACGGGGATGAAGGGGGGAGTGACACACCCTCCCCAGCGGAGGTAGTGCCTGGGGGGACAGCAACCCAGCCAGCCCAGCTGGGTGGAGTGGAGAGGAAGTTGGGGAAGGTCAAAGAGATGGAGTGATTGCTCAAGACACTGGGGGTGCTTGCTGTGCCCCGTAGTCGCGCCTGTGAATCCGTCGTGCTTCTGGACCGCCGTAGTGCTGGTCGGTTGAGGGGAGCCAGACGGTGCACTTGCGCAACAACCCGGTAGTCACCTGACTTCCTGACGTGCTGACTTGCAGTCGGCCCGGATTAATAATCCAGTGCCGATATGCCCCTCCGCGCTGTGCCGTTTGTGATCGGCGGCCTCCCCGCAGATTACTAGATTTCTTCTTCTGCTACTGCTTCTTCATCTTCAACTTTCTTATCTGTGAATTGGATCACTCAATCAGCATTATCATTACCGTGGATCTTGTCAGGCGCTGTCACATACGTCTTTGAGTCATTTCTCGCAATGTCCGACTCCGTCTACGCGGATTATCCTCCCCACCTGAACCCCGCACAGAAGGAGTTCCTGGTTCGGACAGTGAAAGACTGGACTGTTCAACATGGATTGATGATCCGTCCTGCACCGACATTCATCTCCAAGGAGTCAGACCCTCAAGGCGTTGTGGCGACCAGTGCCCCGGTTACCTTATTCCCCAGTCCTTTCCCCAAATCTTGCTTCGAAGAGGCCCAGGCCCTCCAGACGGTGTACAACCAACTCTATGCCGCAATCACCTGTGACGAACAATGGATTGGGGACATCATGGAAGAGTAAGGGGCACCTCTTATCTGTCATCTTGCTCTCAGCTTCGAGGGACGAGTTTTGTTGCGTTCTGTTGCACTTCGTTTGGTTTTGAATCTCCAGATGTAGATGCTAAACCGTTCTTCACTCTAGCCTCATTGACGTGGATGACTTCATCTCGCACCTCTGGAATGTTCACCTCGCAGTCAAAAAGGAAGGTTACGTTCAGAACCTCTCCCTTGGCCTCTATCGGTCCGATTACATGCCTCACATGCCGTCTGCCTCGTCTCCTCCCTCCTTGAAGCAGGTCGAGTTTAACACCATCTCCTCATCCTTCGGCGGGTTGTCAACGCTCGTAACGTSCCTGCATACCGAGCTTCTCAACTCCCCACCGGGTCATCCCATCGCGTATCCATCGCATCCCCTACTGAGCACCAGCCAGCCCCCCAAGAACACTTCTGTGGAGACCCTCTCGGCGGGCTTAGCTGCAGCACACTCTGCCTATGGACCATCCAAGTCATCACCAGCTCTACCTACATGCATCGTCTTTGTTGTCCAGGAAGGCGAACGGAACGTCTTCGATCAATTAGCTCTCTCGAGGCAGCTTGCGCAGGTTCACAAGATTCCCGTATTCCGTTTGCTCAGCTCCGAAGTCTTCACTCACACTCATATTACCGCCTCCAATCCTTCCCGGCCGCTCATCTACCGCCCCCCTCACGCTGAAGGCGTAGAATTCGAAGTCACAACTGTGTACCTCCGTTCTTTCTACACACCGACAGACTACAAGTCCGAGCGTGACTGGGATGCTCGCATTCATCTAGAGCGTTCCGCCGCCATCAAATGCCCCACTGTCCTGAACCAGCTAGCGGGATCGAAGATCGTACAGCAGGTGCTCGCGGAAGCCCAGGGGCCGGATCATCTTGCCAAGTTCTTGGCCGGTACCGACTCAACTACAATCGAGAGGCTACGAGCCACCTTTGCTCCGCAATATGATCTTTCCTCGAATGGCCGTGGACGAGAGCTTGCCTTGACCTCTGAAACAGCAGCCAACCACGTGTTGAAACCCCAGCGCGAGGGAGGTGGAAACAACATCTACAAAGAGGCGATCCCTGACTTCCTGCGATCCCTCCCTGAGACAGAATGGAAGCGGTGGATCCTGATGGAGCTGATCCAGCCGCCCGCCGAGGCTAAGAACGTGGCGCTGCGACCGGACGGCGAAGTCCTCAGCGGAAATGTCATCGGAGAATTGGGCATCTACGGCACGATACTCTGGGACCAAGCCGGAGGCAAAATCCTGCACAACGAACAGGGAGGCTGGCTCATGCGGACCAAGGGCAAAGACGTCAACGAGGGAGGCGTCGCCACGGGATTTTCCAGTCTGGACAGTATCATTCTCTACTAGGACGACATGATAGGCCCATCTGTACACCAGCTAGATCATCCATATATATCTACTAGTATAGACAATATATAGATAACTAATTCACTTCTCAGAACCACCACCACCACTACTAGTACCAGTAGCAGTACCATCCCTAACCCAATGCCCACTCTTTCCCCCCTTCTTCTCCAACAACCTCACCCCTGACACCACCATCCCCTTATCCACCGCCTTCAACATATCATAAACCGTCAACGCCGCCCCCATTGTCGCCGTCATCGCCTCCATTTCCACCCCCGTCCGTCCCTCACAACTCACACTAGCCACAACCCGCATCCCTCCATGCCCTGAATCCCATCCACCCCATCCATCATCCTCAGCAGCGTCCGGAGCAACCAACTCCACATCCACCTCCACCCCCGTAATCCCTATCCCCGGATGACACAAAGGGATAATATCTGGTGTTCTCTTCGCAGCCATGATCCCCGCGATGCGCGCTACGCTAAATACGTCCCCCTTCTTGGTCATTCCGCCGCCGCGCAGGATCTCCCATGGCCGAGTGTTGGAGAATTGGATGTGGCAGGTTGCTGTTGCGACGCGGGAGGTGATGGGTTTGCTGGAGATTTTGGTCATGTGCACGTTTTGCGAGGCGTTAAGGTGTGGGAGGTCGGGGTCGGGGGTTGTAGGGAGGGAGATGGGTTTGGGGGTGGTGGAGGATGCATTGCTATTGTTTCGATGGTTGGTGTGGTGGTATCTCGATTGCGGGAGGTTTTGTGGTAAATTGCTCAGCCATGGTACTTTGCTGGAGATGGAGGGAGTAGGGTTATAGTTGGTTCGCGAGGATGGTTTATCTATTTGATGTCTATTAGCGGAGAACATATGCATAATTCATGTTTCATGATGGGTCATGTCGCGAGCATTGAAGTGGACATTGCAACAAGGAGAACGGATTCACAGTTCCATGCTTACCCACCAATAACTATTATGGGGTTGCAGCTTGCTAATCTGGTGCGGCGAAGGGATGACAGGAGCGACGTGACTCCCCGCCCGCGCCACAAAAGTTCAGTCATTTTATTCGTTTAGGAAATAGTCCGGCCCGGCGCAGACAGTAGACTATAGGGTCATTGTATGGAGACGAAGAGTTTTCCCTTGATGCGCGTTGAGTGAAGAAGTCGGAGAAAGCTTGGATGTGTTTCTTATCAGTGGGGATGCCCTGCCGCAATCGCCGCGGAGATCCCCGGTGCGGGTCACGTGAGGAGGGCTGTAGGAATATGCAGTTATTTGTGACAAGCATCATAACAATGTATTTAGGATATCACTATGTGTGGAGTTGTTGGGTTTAATTTATCGTTTCTTCCTGTCGTTGTTCTGTCAAATTGATGATCTACTCGTCATCCTTCACGAAACCACGAAACCAAGCGACAATCTATTGGGACATTTGATAGCCTCCAGTCCAGAGATAGAAGAGGCTAAGCTATTATTTTGAACGTCAGACACCATAACGAGTCTATGGAACCATTGACAAGGATTCTTTATCCTGATTTTGATACTATCGTAGGCATTGATCCAAACTAGCCAGTCACCGTCTGCCATACATACAGCCAATCCATGAGGTGAACTTTCCACTCGCTATGGTTTAAGACATTTCCACTTCCCCGCTCGCGGGTCTCACACACTCGACGACCATGTGAGCAGCCGAATGATGGGTTGATGTGATAGAAGAGGTGATTGATGCTGCGGTACGACCGAGCAAGCAAGCAATCAAGCAGGAGTCCCTCCGCACTACCGACGCCACCGTTGAAATCTCACGTCATATCGTATCGAAGCAGTACCCGACTGACTCTAAGTGGTTCAATAACTATCGGCTGTGAATATACTCTGCTCTGCAGACAATGCAAATAGTATAGTGAACTACCAATGGGCAAGACGCAATCATGCTCTCGGCGTGGTTCCTGACCCAATCCATGGCTTCGGCCCGTTCCCCGCGGCCAATTCCCCGCATTTCCATCCTCCGCTTCGAAGCACTTCAATGCTCCAAGACCCATAGTGACAGGAGTGGCGTTGTCGCATTGCAGAAATAGACAGCAGGACCAGTCTGACCATTAGCGATGCTTTTCCGAACTAGGAAGTGTCAGACAACTGACGGGGTCCCAGAAGGGGTCAAGCCGGATGCAAACTCATCAACTATCGAAAGCTAGCTTGAGTTCGAACAGGGTCCGATAAAACCTCTCCAGTCAGCACTCTGTACTTGTGAGACATATTGCTTTCGCGTCAAGCCTTCCCTCTCAGGACCCATGCAATCCCGGTCGCTAGGACGCCTGAATATCAGTTCCCTGTCTCCCGAATGGTTCAACGTTGTCTCGGTCAACTGCGGAACAAACCTGGTGCTGCATTAGAAAAAAGCTAAATTTAGTCCTAGGCTCTAGAGAACCAGGCCCGTCTTTCGATGTAGAATGACATACCCGGTGTTGACCGTCTGGAGAGGGAATACTACTACGGATAGGAAGAGACGTCGTGCAGAAAGGGAAGGCTACCGCTATGAGTCCCACCGAATGCATGAATCCCACGTCACAAGGTAACACCCGGAAGAGAGACCTCGTTACCCGGTTTACCCGGAATTCCCGTCGTGGTGAGACTTTTGCAGAGTATCCTCGCTATACAGCATCACCAGCCAAGATAGTTCCAAGACATGACTTGCCTGACGAGGGAAGAGGGCAAGATAGGCGTCTATAGTACTATTTCAGCCATGTCTCCGTGAAGACAGCCTTGCCATCATGGCTATATAAACCATGCCGTATCCTCCCATGCAGACTCATCTCTCATCCTCAGAAACAGATTCTCTACCCTCAAGATACTACTAGTATATCCACTACATCATGTATCTCACATACCTCACCATCTTCACCCTCCTCTCCTCCCTCGCTACAGCACATGTTCCCCGTGCTGGCACTCCCACCACGCTCCTCGCGGCCCCAGCTGCAGCCATCAACGCCGTGGCCACCCCCTCTCCAATTCAGCCCGGCATGACCAGCAATTGCGACTCCTTCCACCTAGTGTCTAGCACCGATACCTGCGCCACCATTGCCTCCAGTGCTGGTATCTCGCTTGCCAACTTCTACTCGTGGAATCCGAGTGTGGGCTCCGGCTGCGAGACTCTCTGGCTGGGGTACTATGTCTGCACTGGAGTTAGTGACACTACCACCACTACTACGACCACATCTACTACGACCACCACCACAACAGCCGTGACTACCCCATTGCCCACTCAGTCAGGGATGGTGAGTAACTGCGATGCTTTCTATCTGGTTGCCTCTGGGGATACCTGTACGACAGTGGCGCAGAAGAAGAGTGTGTCGGTGACGGATATCATCGCTTGGAATCCGGCCGTTGGTACAGGCTGTACAAATTTGTGGTTGGGGTACTATATTTGTGTGGGGGTGTTGTAGGTGAAGTATGGTATGGAAGAAGATGAGGGAGCTGAGATTCATGCGGCTCATGGTTTATGCTGATTGTCGGCTGGGGATGGCGGATATCGCTTTTATTTGGGCTTAATCTAGTAGCTGAGTATTAGCTAATACTACTACGTAGTAACTCGACGTTGGTTGATAGGAATTTAACGGAGAGATGCTTTGCAACTCAATTTGTATACCGCTGATACTCAATATTATGGATCTACTAGGATAAATCCGATGACAAAGATGATACATTAAGTCTCGATCGAAACACAAGAGATCAAGGACTACTACTAACAATATGTCCATATATTGAGATAGTACAGAAGCGGGGTGATCTTGTGACCCTGCCAGATTATGTAGTTCCCTGATGCTGTACCACCTCTATCGGGCGAGGAGGCTTACAAATTCGAGAGGCTTTGATGTATGTCGCTGTAAGCGCAAACACGGGCCTGAGCCATTGTGGGAATTTATCAGGAATAGTAGTAGTCATTCAGGGACATGTATTTATGCTACTTTTAGGGAGACCTGCTTGATATGAAGAGACAGTCTAGTAGTCGGGAGAGCATTGTGTAAAGCTAATAAGAACCTTTCTTAGGATCGAGCAAGGGACAAGAAAAAAGAAAAAGAAAGAAAAGAAAGAAAGAAAGAAAGAAAGAAAGAAAGAAAGAAAGAAAGAAAGAAAGAAAGAAAGAAAGAAAGAAAGAAAGAAAGAAAGAAAGAAAGAAAGAAAGAAAGAAAAGAAAAGAAAAGAGAGAGAGAGAGGGGGGGAGGGAAGGAGGGAGGGAGAGAGAGATAAAATGAGAGAAAGAAAAGAGATGGAATTATGGAATAGGGCTTTCTTTCTATTTATCATAGCATTTTATAAGTAGACTAACTAATACATCATCCTCTGTCATACATTTTGCAATCCAAAAAGACCAAACTGAACACATAATAGTATAGGAACATACGAAGGAATCCCAACCAGTAGAGTCAAGACGAAACGACTAAGGAGGAATATTCAAACAGAAAGTAGATAGCCGAGCATAAACAAGGAAGCAACAAGCCCAACAACTGCTGGACTCCATTCGACGAAAGCAAAACAGGAAGCCGAAATGAGTGCAAAGCATAAGTTCAGAAGTGATTGAACAGACTCCCCATCAATCATGGCTGATCCTTGCCTGAAAATTCCATTGTTGACTCTCGGATCGGGCATTCTGACTGGTCGCTGGTGTTCGATACCTGGATTGTGACTGACGAGAACCACGCGAGGCACTCGTTCCTTGAGAACGCCTGGGAGGGGCGGGAGTTCTTGCGGGCGGTTGAGGGTTCGTTCGCGATGAAACGCCACGCTGATAAGGAGCACCGCTTTGCCGTCGCTCAGATTCCCTTCGGCGGTATTGACGAGTGGGTGTACCAGGGTCTTCGGGGGTGCTCCGACGTTGACTGCGGCGAGGGCTCGGAGTCAGGGTTGCAGAGGACTCAGCTGAAGGAGAGGAGCTCGCATTGGAGCATGGAGTCTGATCTGGCGAAAGAAAATAGTCGTCTTCTGGCTCCTGAACATTCATATAGGCATCGTCCGCGTGTCTCTCTGACTTGGGCTTTACCATAATCACCTCTGGAAAGAGGTCGCGGCGGTCCCTCTCGACTGCTGTGCACATGATGGTAAGATCCCTATAACGCTTTCTTATCAAAAGGTTAGTAATCGTGGCGAACAGGATTGTAACTTGTTCTAAAGGGCTATAGTAAAAAGCACGCACTTACCTCGCAGTATCAGCGGAATAACGATCATCTCCTCTTCTCTCCACTAGCTTTTCGAAAACCTGCTTTGAAAGGGTTCCCTCGTTCAAAGCCAGGATCATTCCCCTCAATAGCATACAGTCTTCCATGTAATTCCATGTAATCGGAGGCCGTTTGGAAACTGCTGGGGTGCGTGGAGGCGTCTCAGGCCTATTCCTGGTTTGACGTCTCGATGAAGTCCTCGCCATGGTGGTATGCAATTCTAACCGCCACGAAAGAAGTGGGAGCAGAGCAAGACTAACAACTGGCTAGTTAAGTGTTGCTGAAGTGTGGAAATTGAATGGGGAATTGATTACGTCTTATATTGCGGCCTAAGGAGAAAATCCTTTCAGCGCACACGACGTAGGAATTGCCCGTAGTCAAAAGCAACCTGACATCCTCGCTCGATGTATAGATAGTTTCTTTCATTCCCTGGGTGGCTGGTAAAGGCACAAGGGTGTCGTATGTCCCTGACTGTCCTGTCTGGTGTGATCTGGCCAACTGGTGGGTAGGTTATACGCAGGCACCGAGCAAAATCTGTGTCTGACATATCCGATATACCATGAATGGTTCATTTTACCTGACGGCTGAGTATGGAGGTGGGTCTTCAAGTAGGTACTGAAACATCCTCTCTATGTGACATATGTGGGTGGGGGCTGCAGGACCCAAGCTGAGTGACATGTCCACTGGTAGTCTGTCTCTGGGCCAGCTGGAAGACTCAACACTCCGATAAAACCAAGAATCTTGCAGTTGAGTTGATATTATTCCGTACTTCGTGTGCTGATATGATTGTATAAAGAAATAATAACTCCTAAAACTGAATTGACGACTAAAAATGCGAGTAGTCATATCAGCAGACTCTCTGCTACTACACAAGGATGGTACCTGCCAGACTCGGAGTCTGCAACCTTCTCAATTCGTCCCAACGTTGTTTCTGTAGAAACGCAAGGCAGTTTCGCTGCGGATCTAGTGTGAATCTGACGTTCTGGCGATCAGCTCCATTAGTGACTCCCAGACGCCATGGGCCGGCTCGAGCCGCCTTCTGCGGATCTCAACAACATCATGCAGATCCCTCAATCGAGTGCTCTTGAGATCGTGGGAACGCAGCCCACGAAGTCCTCCTTTGCGAAGTTCCAATACGGGCAACACCAAGCGATGATAAAATGGGATTATTTAGGCCCTATTTCGGCAAGAGAAATTGAGTTAGGGCCGCTTTTGACCGCGGCAAGAGTATAGTCCGCCCGATCTCGGCCCGGCTTGCATAACAGGAACTTGTTCGAGCTAATCAATTTTTCTTGTCCTCATCCACTCTTTTCCCTGCAGCCTTCGAGCAAAACCGAGATGTAGGAAGCTATCGTAGCCAGCGATCCAGCAAGCAAGCGAGTCGGCGCGAAACCACTCCCGAGTCAACCCTTACAGCTTACCTTCCCCCCAATCCAACCTTCACGATACATCACAGACACGATCCTTGTCCCAACGTCGGCTTGGGCGGCTACAGGCTGAAATCATATGCCAAACCTTCTCCAGGATCAAGGGTACTTCATTTGCCCCCGGAAACGAGAGCCAGCCACATTTTTCTTGTCTACTTAGCTTATCATAGGCATATGCTTCCCCGCGCTCCGTTGGATCTATCAACTTCATTCACGTATTTTTAGCGCGCAACCACAGAGTCCAGGTAGCGTACCTATGTATGGCGTATGGTACAGGGTATTTTCGTACTGGATCTATCCATCAGCTCTTGCATTTTCTAGGTGCGACTTGAAGTATACACACATAGACTATCTCTGCAATTTGCAATCTCTCCTTGGCTGCTTAATCCCTGCCCAAGCCCTCACCGCCAGAATGACGGAGTGACGATCTTTGTGTTTGTGAAACTGTTGTCAATGCTGCCTTTTCGGGGACAACAAGGAGATTGTGACTGAGGTGCTTGGTTGCTTTCGATCCTAAGGAGAATCAGGGATTGCAATACGAGCATGGGTATACCGGCTGTAACCTCGGTAACGTCTTTTCTCAAATTGATGCCGGGGCTCTAGTACGTCTTTGGCTGGTCTAGACTGTAACTGAACCCTCCGCTGTGTTATGTCCCTTGCCCCTGCTCTGCTGCGGTTTCCAGCCAGATCGATTCCTACAATCAAGAGTCCGTATA